CTCACACGTGCTCCATAATACACCCCATTCCAACCATGACTGCCAGGAGGGGGGAGGGGGGGGGGGGGGGGGGGGGTACCGAAAGACTCTGTTTCAGGCTGAGAATCCGTTAAGGCTGATAATTAAGGGTGACCCAAACAAGAGCATACTAAAATTCAGGCCTGCTCAAATGAGAACCCCTAAAATTCAGGCCAAGGGAAAACCAAAAGCTGAAAAAACAGGATGACCCTAAAAAAAACCCTACTATACAGCATTTCAGAGCATTTTGTCTTGGCTTCTAATGCCCTGGCGTGCACATCCCGCGTTGTCAATTCCCCTTTATCATCCACATGGCTTGCGTGCAAGGCGTCTGGTGACATTGAATGATTTGACTGTCGCATTGACAAATGAGAGTGTGGGCGCGCGAACAATGCCTACAACGCATGTTTTTTTATGCTGGTCGTTCTATTATGGAAAGTAGCATCAGCATCAGCAAAACCCATTACAGTGCTGATAATAATTTGTAAGAATATGCCCATAGTATTAGAAGCGCTGTGGACAGGGCCTTAGATTGGTTTTGGGGTACGCTGATTGCTCAGCCCCCCCCTCCTAATTCCCTGATTTTACAGGACTACCTAAAAAAATTCCGCTGAGCTAATAGGGTTAAAAAAAAAAAAAAAAAAAAAAATCTTGAGCAAATAGGGTTGCACAGTAGAATAGCGCTGGACATTAATACTAGCAAATATTTGAAACAAACATAAAATATGCACAATATAATTAAGCATCCTCCTCCTCATCCTCCTCAGCTATGGTATCATGGTTTTCTCCAGGCACGTCTTCAACTGGTTCCTTTCCCTTGCAGCTCTTCTGAGGCCTGCTCTGTGGGGCGCAGCTATACGACTTTCTCTTCCTGTAAGCCCTCCAGACCTCTATCACGGCGTCCCATCCCGGCTCATAATCTAACAAACTCATGCACACTAAATCTCCTAGGCGAGAGTCCTTCAAGGTGCCACGCAACCAACTTTTAATGACGTTGTGGCAGGAGAACTCGCGCTCGTACTCTACTGTACTTAGAGGAAGAACTGTCGTTGCACACCATAGCTTAACAAGGTTGGGGTAGCTGTGCTCCCTGTCCGGTGTCTTCAAAATGGTTGTCAGGCCAATAAAGTATCCCTTTTCGTTGTGCGGCAACGCTACAATGATGGGGGTGAAGTGGGGAATCTTCTTGACGGCCGCCTGCGCATCAATGCCTGTCAACGTGGTAAGGGGAAGTGAAACAATCGTGCTGGACTTTGGTTCTTGATGACACAAAAGACCACACTTGATAATTAGCTAAACCCGTACCCGGTAAGACCTCTTCAGCTCCCTGCGCATGGTATAGAAGGACAATAGAATGGAACCACTTGATGCACTGCTTGATCTTGGGCGCACGTGGCCACACCAACGGCCACTGGTGGGCACAAAACATCATGACGCCACTCAACTGCTTCAGGTCACCCAACCGCTCCTCCAATTCTTTTGCCACGCCCTCCGCCATTCCCATGCACAACGTGACGCATTCATCGTGCTTCCCCTCGCCCGAATAGCCGATGTCCTTCATGTGCAGGATGAAGCTGAAGTGTTGCGGGCGACCGTCCGAATCAATGCCCTCAACGGTGACGCGCCGCGTACCGGAAGGGCCGTGAAGGGTGAGGAACTACGTGAGCCGATCCTTCGGCGCCCTGTTGAAGTCGTCGCAGCAGTCGACGTAGCGGCTTAGGAGCAGGGACTTCACGCGTGCGATGGACGACTGGACGGTGGAGATGTGCAGCTGCAATGAGGGGGTAGTGCACACAGGTAAGGTGTCAGTCCAGCAGTTAAACAATGACACACAGCAAGTTTACCTGACGCGCTGGAAGATCTTGTTGAGCGTAAGCTCAAGCACATCCGCGAGAAACATCAAGAGAAACCAGAAACGATAGCTGGTAACAATGGTGTACAGCATATCGTCTGGGAACCTAGACAGCATATGTAGTTCAAGCGCCGTCGTGAGGAAGACATCCTGAAGCTCGAGAAAGCATTGATGCCACGGTCCTGAGCATCCAAAGAACTCAGCGAGCTCTCGGATGTTATCGTCGATTATCATGAAGGCGGGGAGATCATCAGCCGCGACTTTGGCGGCCAGAGCCTCACTGTACAAGGACGTGAACAGAGCATGAACAGCTGAAGGGAGAGTTAGACAAGGCAACACATACATGGCTACTCTCCAGGCCAAAATACGCATGCAAAAAACCCCATGTTTATCGATGCGCTATGCAGTGGTAGGAGACGAGGTGGCAAATGCGGAGTCGGAGACGATTAACAAGTCCGGACTTCGCACCCATCATCACTGCTGCCCTGTCAATGCTGATGCCAAAGATCAGATGAAGATCCACTCCGATGTCCTGGAGGTGGGAGAACAGCAACGACTGAAGGGAGCCAGCCTCCGCCTTGTCGACTTTAAGAAGAGCCAGGTACTCCGTGACCACCCGACGCTCACGAAGGAAGGTTGCGAACATGATCATATGCTTCCTCCGACACCTATCCGTGCTCTCGTTCTGGCTGAGCTAGATGAACGGGCTGTGCAGAAGATGCTCCAGTTGAGTTGTCTGAAGCCATGTAGCCGTACCAACAAACAGAAAAAGAACTATTGAGTTAGAGTACTCGCATTAAAAAACACCGAGGACCAATCATTCAATCTGACGAGTTACGAGTTCAGGTAGGTGCCGTAACCTTCCTCGAGGACATTCTTGTAGAGCCGAGAGGTGAGGTAGCGTGCAAATGTGATCCACTCCATTGGTTCGTTCGTCCTGCAGCAGAGGTAGAGAGAGTCGAGAAGCGCCGTCAGCCGTTCCTTCTCAAGATCAGCGGCACGGGGATTCTGATCAATCCTCGTCTGCGTCGTTGCCTCTTACAGCAGAGCAGCCTGCTTCCCGTAGGCGAGACGATGCTTCCCAGTGCCGGTGTGTGTGGTGAAGGCTTGTGTCTGGGCTTGTAACGGGTTTAGTTAGGTGCCCTTGCTGTCGTGCATGTCGTTCCCACTGACCGTCATACTTCGCAATTGGCTCAAGCACGTACCCAATAAAGGAAATACGACGCCATAGGGTGTTGCACTGCACTACTGTTATTTTCGTGAATGCTGAAGCAACTAGTTTTCGTGACAAATAGCAAGAGAATATACTCTCATTGCTACGTAAAGCCCGCCCATTTTGTTTGATATAAATCATGTACGTTTGAAATCTCTTACGATGTTATAGATGCTTCTTGTATTTGCTGCGTTATCTGGTATTTTCTGTCGGTTATGTCGGTGAAAGTGAGGTGGAAGGCAGACATGCCGCTTCCTTCATGTCCCTTCCCTTCCTCTTGGAGCAGAAACCACCGTCCCCAGATTTGTTCCAGAACATCTGACGAACAGACAGACCATGTCTGCTGCACAGTGCAGATCCACAGGTCACGCAGCGTGGTCCAACCATGAACGCTACGGGAAAAAATAATCAGGGCAGTACGTACTTGAACTGGACTTCACTCTTAGTTGAATGGGATATCTGGGGAGGATAGGTGTGGTGAAAGAAAGCACCCTCAGGAAAGTGTGAACCGACGTTCTGCTTCGCATTTGTTTATTTTCAGGGAAATGATCAGAAAGGGTCCTCGCTCCTACAGAGGTGTGAGCCAAAAAATGCCAGTCTACCTCCGAACCTGTAAGACCCAGAGTTTGCTCCTTAGAGTGATTCTGCACCTCGGGTCTGACCCGAGATTGACCCACGGTCGAAGGAGCCGCGGGGTTTCGAGGCTCAACCTTGGGTCCAGTGAGTTTGACGGTAGTACGCCTACAGAGGTGCAGAATGTCGCAGAACGAGTTGACGATGTACAGAAAACCGCACTGACTTGTCGCAAAGCGATTTGGGAGGTGTACATTGGCGGACGATGCACTTACGCCACTTCTATTCCGGTAGGTTTGTATGCGACCGGTGTGTTTCCAGTCAAGCAGCCGTCAGGAGTCGCAAGACCCGAGGCAATTTTTTCCACCTCGGGTGTTCCTGTATGATACTAGCGTCAGACACGAGCTCCAGAATCACCCTTAGTATTTTTGTTAAACGTTATTTTCAAAAGGGCAAGAATCCCATAGGGGACCGAATTCCGTTCGGGATGGCATCAACCCTAAACACGCGGCCCTTTTGCGATTTTAGGGTTGATGCCACCCGGAATCGCATGAGAGGGCCGTATGGGAGTTAGTTTTGTAAGTGTCCTAAAACACTGCTCTTAATAAATTTCCAGGTCATAGGGCTACAATATGACGCGCCCCCACAAAATGCGATGTGTTGCGACCCTATAATATGTGCATGTTGTACGACTAAGTTTATGTATCCGAGTCTCGGAGACAAGGTATGGGGGCAGAAAGCTGCCGGGCCTTTTTTGCTCACGCCTCTGGCGGAGCGAGTACCTTTTTAAATAATTTCCCCTCTTTTCAGAGCTGTATCCTCTTGGGGTCGTTGAAGGACTGGCTGAAATTTTGCCACGCTGGCATCTGCCAGGCTTTGGGTAGTTCTCATTGGCTCTCATTGCAACTATTTGGGATGACTCTGCGACGCTGCTCGCACAAGCATGGGTGTGGTGTGGTGGTTGGGTAGGAGGGATGCTAACCCATCGCGCAAGCGTGCGATTGTACTGTATGGGTCGCCAGGGTCGCTCGCTTTCGTATGAACGGGTCAACCCAGACCGTCAGTGCTTCAACAATTTCTGAGCGGATATTCCCACCGACTTCGTTTGAACCACGCAATAGCAGCAGTGCGGGCAATCCCCTACACAGCTCGAACGGGACACGAAACGAAGTTTTGCAATTTGGACGCGCCCTGGGGATGGATGGATGACATTCTGCGCCAAGGCAGGTGCACCACTGCACCCCCTTGCCCCAGACCAAATGGCAGGAAGCCCTTCTCATGTCTTCCCTGGATGCACTCCACCAACCGACCATCAGTGTTGGTGGTGGTGATGTGTGGACCTGTCTGCCTCCCATATTGTTGCCCACATGTCATCCTAGTGCATAGTAGTTCCTGAGTCAGGTGTTCCATTTCGATTATGTAGGGACGTTGTCATTGTGGCAAGCCGTTTACACCACGATTGATCCTCTTCAATTCCCCATCTAGCTCTAGCCAGAACGCTAAATTGTCAGCTCGCAGCGCAAAGATGCGCCTGGTGATCCTTCGACTACACACGTAGCCAATTTCTTAGGTCAGTTTCAGATGGCTCTTGGCGATCGCGGGGGGCGCGAACGCTTTCCGAGTCCGCCTCACCGTCATCGCTACTTTCTCAGGATCCCTCGCGCGAGCTGTTCATTCCTATGGTTAAGTTCTCCCGTCCTTCGGCTGCTCATCCTGGTGACCACTGTCCGCAGTGGCATGATGCAAGGAATCCAGGTGGAAGCTTCCTCGTCGTACAATGACGTGGTGAGTGCACGGATCACAGAATATGCGCGTCGTTCCCGAGTACTGTGATAAGCATGTTCGCTGGAAGTTCATGGTTTGTGAATAATGTACACGGCCAATAAGACTCACAATTGTACGGTGATTCGCAAAGGGGAAGTCAAAGATGAATCATTACGGAGATTAAGATGGAAATTCCCCCTAAGGGTACTCGCAACCACTTGCCCCGCGCAGCTCTCCTCCGGGCAATTCAACCCCACGCGTCTCAATTAGCGACTTAGCTCGCCGCCCTCCCGTTCTCTTTCTCAGATCGACGAGTCTCCCCGCCTTCGCCTGGACCACGAGCGAGACTTCATATCTCACGAGCTCGTCCCCCCCACCGCCGCATCAGCTGGCGTGGACCCCTCCGCCGGTCCTTATCCTTCCGAACGCGATCATTACCCCTCTGCGTCATCCGATCCTACCAGTTCGGACTCAATGGACGATTCCTGGGCTGACGATAATTTCGACACCAGGTCAGTAGACGCTGTGTGCAAGGAGCGGGTGTGAGACAGCTGTACAACTCATTTCTCCACGGCTAATCACTCCGCCTGCCCTGACCCTCCCTTTCCCACATCTCATTTCACTGCAAACCAGCACCCACCAGCACTAGCACTATCGTTGTCCCCCCACCCCCCCTCTAAACCCCGAACCTCCGTGCGTTCCCCCCGTGCGGCGAGCAGGTGCGCGCCCAATGCGAGTCCGGCGTCGCTGGTACCGCAGCTTCGGTCGGACGACGAGTGCGTGGCGGAGCTCGCGACCTTCCCCGCGCTCGACGTCAAGCAGCGCCACGTGCGCGTCTTCGCGTGCCTGGCGCACCGCTACCTGCAGCCGTGGATGGGCATTCCGGGGATCCAGGAGGGGCTGGGAGCCCGAGGCATGATCGCGCCGGGTCTGCTGAAAGCCATGGGGAAGATCGGCGGAGTGATGTCGTGCTCCGGGCACGTGCGCATAGTGAAGGGCGCCATCTACTTCCGGTACGGGGGGTTCGAGTTCGAGTGGTACCGCATGCGGCGCTTCGTGCTGTCCATCCTGATGATCCAGGACGCCATCCGCACGTACGGCCTCTCGTCGCTCAGCGCCGAGTTCTTCCTCAACACCTGCGACCTCCCCGCCAGCACTGCGGGGTCGCGCGCCAACGAGAAGGCGGGGCTGCCCATCTTCAGCCCGCAGGGCTCGCTAGGGTTCGTCGACATTCTCTACCCCGACCCCGTCGACCTCTCCATGCACTACTACAGCGAAAAGAGCGCCATGGTGAGAAAGGAAACTCTCATGGATCTGGGGTTTGGGTTCATTCACACAGTTTGGGTTCATCACCGATACATTCACACAGCTTCGACCCCCCTAACCACACTCAAGCGACCCCTTCCCACTCCCACTCCCACTGAGCCTGACGCCCTCTCCCCCCTCGCCCCTCCCCTTCCTGTGGCCCTCTCGGTCTGGCAGTTGCCGTGGGAGCGGAAGAGGAGCAAGGCAGTGTTCAGAGGAGCTGCCACTAATTTCAAGATCAGACGGCCGTACCAGTGGAGAGGCAGCCCCAGATTCAGACTGCACCGGTGAGAACCCAGTGCACGCCACCTGTTCTGTGTACAGCCACAACGTCACGCCTCTGCTCTTCCCGGTACTCGTTTCTGCCTGTTCTTGCCACCCTGCTGGCCCCGCTCTCACCTCTTGTTTCGTTTCCCTTGTGCCCGTCCTCCCGTCGGCCTGACGCGCTCATGACTTGGGTCCCCACTCACCCACCCTCGTACCTCCTTGCTTCACTCCCTGCATGTCTCCCCGTGTGGTGTCCTGTGCAGCATGTCCGACGTGCGGCCTGATTTGCTGGACGCCCGCATCATGAAGCTCAACGCAGCAGGATACAGAGACCTGTGAGCACTGGGGGGGGGTTGCCAGCAGAAAGGTGGAAAGACGGATTTGGGGACTGAACAGTGTGAGCGATTGCTTGTCAGTGTTTTGTGATTGGTGGCCCAACCAGGGACGTTTCTAAGCAGCTCATTGCAGAGTAAGACGCACAAGGGAATAGCAAGGCAAGAAGTGATTTCCCCTGCTTTGTATGTCGCACATCTGCTCTCGTGCTTTCTGAGCAGTCTGAATAAGGACAAGATTGTGAAGGGCAAGGCGTTCAACAGGTCGCAGTTGCAGTCGTTTAAGTACGAACTGGTTGTGGACGGTGGCTCAGGGACCTGCCGCACATGTGGAGTCATGTCTAGTGACCAAGTACGTGCTGCCCCAAACACACTCGGCTGTCACCTTACTCCGTTTCTCTTGCAGCCCTTCAACCCTGCTTGACCCGTACCTTCCTCCTTGCAAAGACACTCCACCACCTCTCCACTTCGACAACTACCCTTACTGCCTGTGTGCGCTCTCCTTGGTATCTCCATCCAGTGAACCATTCCTCTCCCCTGTGTTGCATGTGTAATGTGTGCAGCTGATGATAAAGCAGACGTCAGAGCTGTACCAGTTCTTTGGCCCTCTGCTCTGCCCCTTCCGCCATTACCTGCCCACGGCCCGCTACTTCGCGGACCTCTTTTCTCGCGTGGAGTGGGCTCGGGACAATGACCAGCAAGCGCAGATGATAAACAAGGCGGCCAACAAAGTTGCAAGGTGTGTGCATACCGCCTCCCTTCCTTGACATGACAGGTGCTCTAACGTGGCTTTCTTGTTCGTCTTTGGTGTCTACTAATTGCAGCACGAGGAATGTACCAATCTCTTTCCTCGTGTTCTTTCATTGTTCAGCACTGCCTGCACCTGGGAGGGACGGCGACTGTATTGGGCCATTCTGCTTATCAAATATTCTGAGAGTGCCATGGAGGACTCCAGCCAGGTCAAGGTGCCCGATCAGCTGTTTGAATGTAAAAACCTACCGAAGCAGCAGGACATTGAACCGCCACACTCTTCCCTGGACATCAAATCGACCCCTCCTCTCTGGCCTGCATACTGCAATTCGCCTGAAGAGGATGCCAACCAATCCCCATGTGCGCACTTTTGTGAAGGCAAGCTGGCTGAGAGCAAGTGGAAGTGGCTCACACCAGACGTCTTCAAGGGCCTCAAGGCGTTTCATCCACCAAAATGAGCCACGTAGCAGCCCGCTGTGCGCCCTGCAGCGCTATCATCTACCATTCTTTTTTGAAACGGCTCAATAATAATTCTTGGAAGACGTACCTCACTGAAGTGAAGACTCTTTAAGTCGCCATGGAAGTGAACTCCCGGGTGCTATATTATGCAACAGCATTTGGTTTTGCCAATGCTTGGGCAAATCAGAACAATCCAACTTACACATGTGCCATGCGCCACATCAGTATCAGGAGCACATGCAACACATGCCAGACAGCCCGAAGTTGTGGAGTGACAACAAGATGATAGGTTGGGCAAGAAGGCGGTCTTTATGGTGAGTCCAGGAGTGGCCATGATGTGCCAACAATTGGCAGTTTTGAGCATGTGAGATTGGGGCATGACATGAAAGTAGTTTTGAATGTGTGAGATTGGAGTTTAGTTACAGGTACGACAGCTGGGATCTGGCCTTGCTCGAGCTTGCCCCATTGGGAATTCCACGAACCCTCCGCTGACCCCCCGGCAGCGCCGCTCCATTGAGGGCCGAGACAGAGAGCTTTGACACAGCCCAGGAAGGCCTCCGCAGCGCCCGCCTCCTGGTTCCCTTCCGCCCGTCACCTTCCCCCTGCGCATCCTCATGTGCTCTGCTGTGCCCCTCACGTCCGACTTTCCCCCCTCAACCCCATCCTGCTTGGCATTCCATACCTAGAAACAGAGCATATAGCACTCGCCGCATCCCACTACCAGCCGTACTAGACCTGCTGATTTCACCTCTAGCACTTCCCCGTGAAAGTGGGATTTTCAAGATCCAGGCAATCTGTCACGTCGCAGCTATGCGGGGAATGTTGCTCGCGTTCGCTCTTGTGGCCGTCATGGCAGCCGTGCAGGTACCTATCATGACTCCTCTCCTGGCTTTCTACAAGCTTGGATGTCATCCTTCATGCCATGTCTGAACTCCGTCCCATTTCATGTGGACCATCACAAGATTAGCTGGTTTGCTGTATAACTGATCTCGTCCTTGAAGGTTTATGTAGGATGAGGCTCATTATTCATTTCTACTTTTATAGATCGAGAAATAAAACCTCACCATAGCTGGTATTCGAGATCTGTGTCTTACGTTTGCGTTCGGCGTGGCGCAGGTGGCTGCATCTCCGGCGGTCCTATTTTTGGATGAAGCTCAAGGTTCTTACTTCAAGCGCGTTTCTGGCTCTGCAGGGGTAGGATGGAATTTCGCCCTTTCAACTTTTCCATCTCGCTGGTTTTTGTTTCCCTGTCCGTTGGACCTCGTGTTATATGCATGTACACGCTGTAACAACGTTTTCTTGTCCTTGCCTCTTTTGCTCCCTAACACTTACCCCGATCCATCTTCTTCCGTTTGAGCTCCTAACCTTTGATTCATCAGGCCAAGGCTTCATTTGGCTCCGAAACACCTTATGCCGAAGTGTTTTCCTGTCCACCTCTCTTTTCTCCCATATCCTGCAGTCGTTGGCTCTGTCACCGACTGCTGCAGTCGCAGCCACAGCCGCCTTGCTTGGTGTATCAGTTCCTCTGAACACGGATGCCGCGACTTCCTCTCAGGTAGAACCGCTTTTCTGTCTAGTTAAATACATTTCGATCTTCGTTCCCGAGCACATATCCTTCTGACACTTTCTAACCTTCCCATTCTCTTTCCCAACGTTTTCTGTCTTGCGTCTCGCTGCGTCAGCTGAACTCGTTGCTGATTCCTGATCCCTTCAATCGCCCCCGATCGGTTTTGCACCTCACACTTCCGGGTGCCGATTTCAGTGAGTTGTTGGCTACAGAAGTAGTCGCGTGCTCGAAGGAGCTGTAGACTGATGGTGACAGTTTGACCAATAGTTTTTCAGTGAAGCGCCTTATTGTCGTAGATCGCAAGTGATTCAGGCGGTTAAGCAGGAGTCTTTGGAGAGCCGATCTCTAATATTCTCGGGTTGACCGTCTATGTCTTCTCGCAGCCATGTACAGCAATGTTACGTCCGGCACAGTGCAAGTGGTGCAATCGCGCGTGCTCGCAGCAACCTCCGGCATTCCGGCTGCTTCCCTTACGGGCTACCTGGAAGCAGAGTTCGTGTCTCTCTACAGATCTGCCAGGCCGGAGGGATTGATGATGGACGTTGCTACATGCGGCTGGAATCACGCTGATGCCGACGCCGCGGTTGAGAGCATGGCTGCGTCTTCTCCGTGTGACGACCTCTGCCTCGACTTCCTGGTACCCCCTTGCTCCTTGTTGCCAAGGCTCTTCAGCTTCTTTTCTTCCTCCTTTGCCCGTATCCTTTCGCGAACTTCACTGTCCATGAACCCAAAGTAACACCTTCCTCCATCCTGCTCTGCTTGTTCGTCTCCCACTCGTGTCCGTCAGATGTCTCCGGGGTCAGTTGGGGATGAGGCTTCGCAGCAACTACGCCGTGTCATGAACTCTGCTTTCGATCCTTCCAAGGTCAGCGCAGCATGCAGACAATCTCGATTTATAAAGAGCGATATTGTGCTATCAAGCTCAACCTTTTTATTTGCTCCTCTTTATACTGTTTCAATTGACATGTTACAGGATGCTGATTCAAACTTCCTGGCGAATCTGGCTTGTGTTGTGAGGGCCATTCGTTCTGCCAGCTACAATTCGGCAGAGTTAGCCACCCAGCCGCACTTGCTGGTTGCATCTCTTGCGGGGTTCCAGGTAAGCCTGATTTCGCGTTGGAAGACAAGCTGCACGAGTTCTTAAGGTTTGACTGGAGTCCTTTTCTCATTCTTTCTCACTATTTGCAGTATTTTACGTGGACTAAGGCTGTGTTGGCTTGACAACAATTTACTGTCTCTACATTTGTGTGCCTCTTTCTACATTGCTTGCTGTTTTTTTGCTGCAGGAGAAGCAGGACCCACACACTGCATCTGCACGCCTCTCCTTCGTCCTTGCTACTATTTCTGCCCACATGTCTTCTCTCCGCTTACTGAGCAAGGGTATTTTAAGCTACTTTATCCTCTCAAGCTCTTGCTTTCCTTCGTTACTGCTATTCGTTTTGCTTTTCTGTCTACCCTGCACTCACTCCGTTGTGACCTTATGCAATCTCCTCAACTTTCCTTCATCCAGGATCACTGGTGGCAGAAGTTGTACTGCCAGGGGCCTCTTCAGAGCAGGCAGCGCCACATATGTTGCTGCAGCAGATTGTGTCATCTGCAGGTCAGCGTCCAGGAGCTCGCCAGCTGCGTGGTGTGGTGGCTGCCTCCCAGGTCGCTCAGGCACAGGGTCTGGAGACACCTGCTGACGTCCTCTCAACTGCCATCCTCGTTGCAACTGTCATTCTTCTGATTGTTTCACTGGTTCTAGCTGTAAGTGGTCTCACTCCCTCCTTTCCTCCAAGTTTCCTGATTCAGTCATGGGTTTTGTTTCCTGTGGTGTTGTTTAGTATGGCTACGGGATTCTGTCATGTTCGTAGACATGTAATGAACTTGATGAGCATCATTCTGTTGTGTGCTCCTCTGCTGCTGTTCTGTTCCATCAGACTGCCTACCTCTTCAACATGCCTCCGACCCGTGACACCCTCTTGTACTCGGGTGGGCCGAAGATTGATTGATTTTACCAGCTGGGCATATCATAATATGCATGGGGTAGTGGTGCAGCACATTTGGTTGGAATAGACAGCGTTGCCAACAGCTACACTTGGTCTACCTTATGTGACTAGATGGATCTAGACACGTGCTTGATGGGATTAGAGGGAATGAGTATTGCAGAGAAACAACATACGGTATGGATAATAATAGGAGGAACTTCATCCATATAACACAGCACAGTTCAAAACAATATGCCTTCCCTCTCAGGTTGCTAGGCCGTGAGGCCAGGCCGGTTAGTTCCCTCGAGATTTCCGCCCTTCGCCTGCTTTCGGAAACTCGGTCAACATGGTGCTCGACGCGAACCTGCTGACCATCGGATGCAGTTGACAGGCACCTGATGCTGACCATCGGATTACGAAACTGTTACGGGCACTGTTTTTTTGTCCTGTCGTCCGTGGCGCATCACTGAGAGAACTTCAGCGGATGTCAACTGGGGGTTCCATTTGCGACACATTCGGAATTTGCGGGCAGGTGAAAGTCCCAGCACAGCTCGTGACTGTGGTTTCCAAAGCCCTATTTGACGAGGAAATTCAGCGAAAACTAGCGCGTCAAGATATGGGCGTGGTACACACGGTTCTGAGTTGCCTGTTCTGGAACTCAGTTCCAAATACAGTCGATGCCCAACCTTATCGCAGCTCAATCTGGCGCCCAATCAGAATCCGTTTCCAAAACCCCCAATATACGGGCAATGTGAGATCCGTTTGAGTCACTCATGATTGCGTCTGCGACCAGCATATAGCAAGGGACAAGTCGTTGACGACGAGGTTTCGTCGCCACGGAACTGTGCACCGCCGTCGCCTGATCGCTTCACAAGAGTCGCACACTGGCAACAAATATCGCCACACAAGCCCCCCCCACAAATACCCACCCATTTCGCCGTGTGCTCGTGCGAAAGCCTCATTTGCCCGTGGCGAGGGACAGCGAAATACTTGACCGATTGAATCCCCGGCACTCTAAAATCTTGTGCGATTCTGTCGCGCCTCGACTGTACATTACTGGGAGTGCCAAATAGTCTGTTGGTGGCGAAACAGCCGGCGAGTTGGGTGCGAAGAAGAGCGAAACCAGTCACTGGTCATAAACTCGGACGGAGCTAAGATTTGAAACCAACATCACCACTTCCTAAGTGCATAACAGGTTCAGGTTCAGGTGTGACATGACTGCGCTTGCGGAGGAATTTGGGTGACCGACGGACGGACCCAATGTGTGCGGTGGATGGAAGAGATTCAACTTCCATGGCACGTGTTAAAATCTGGCGTGGGGTGCGGTTACCCGCTCTGCACTGCCACTGCTTCGGGGAGGGCTGGCGGGTTTGACTCGGTCAGTAGTACGGTACTGTGCCAATCACCCACACACCGTTGGATGAGGGCAGGGGGAGCGGGGCTGCCTGTAAGGGGAGGCGCGGATCTGCGCAAAGAAACACTGGCTGCGGGGCGCGTGTGCTGGACGCGGGAAGGCAGGCGGAACCCCGCGCGGCCGAATGCGCCGCTTCATGTGGAGCATGGCCAGGAGAAACGCCCAGGGTTCCCCTTGTTCGGGTCCCCCGTTCCCTGTGGCACGTGCTGAACTCGCCCGTTTCTTAGTATTTCCCTCCCAAGGAAATTAGTGCCGCGTTTTCATAGGAGCTTCCCTGCCTGGAATTTGTATGATTTCCTTGCAGCTCGCTGGGGTGTTATGCTAGCAGCCTTGCATCGACGCGCATATCCAGCTCACGTTAGTTGAGATTAGAGTCGTCAACCTGATGGGGAAAGAGCAGAGCGATCCTAAGGAGCAGCCTCTAGTACTCTTTGCTGGCTTGGCCAAGGGGTGCCAGCTTATCGCCTCGTACGCGCAGCACAAGCACTATGAGCACGCGGCGCTGGAAGCGATAAAGGAAGTCCCGTCCCACGTGCACCGATTCTCCCTGGTGAGTCTCGCAATCATTCGAACCCGAGTTCTTGCCCCCCTCCTTCAGTCTTTCATCCCTGTTCTTTCTATAAGCTCGTGCATTCTCGAAGCTTCAGTGGGGTCAAGGTGAGGAATCCGTGGGTTGTCTCACCCTCTTGCACCATCGCCGCCCTCCTCGCTCTTCTCCATCCCACTTTCGGCGCTCCCCTCACGGCCGGCCCTCCCACCCTCTTCAGCTTCTCCTGCTCTATCCGCCCCCTCTGCGTCGTCCCTCAACTCCCTCCTGCCGCTTCCATTCCCTCCGCGTGTCCGCGTCACCCGCAGGGCCATGGCGGGGTCATGGCGCTCTTCTGCAAATTCCCCGACCCCCTCGCTTTGGACGGCGCCAGCGACGCCCTCCACCATGCGGCCCGCCAGTCGCCGCAGCTCACGCCGTCCAACTCGTACGTCGCCGTGCTCATCGCGTACGAGTCGCCGAGGCTCATGCGGGCTCGTGGCTTCGAGCTGCTGCACACAATAAGCGACCTCTACCAGTCTCTCCTCACCCGCCCGCGCTTCCCGCTCCGCCGCACCTCCTCGTCCTTTCTCCCCCGCGTGGACGCGTTCAAACGGGGAAAGCTCGAGGCGCATATCAAGGACATGTCCGTGGCGGAGCGCGGGCCGCGATGCTCGCAGGAGCTGCGGATCTATCCCTTGGCGCCGAAAGCGTTCCTGGTGCGCGACACGAACCAGTCGCCGGCGGATCTAGCGGCGATAGCGGCGGCGCGGGAGGAGGTGGAGGCGAAGAAGGAGCGCGCGAAGAACATGCTGGAGGCGGAGCTGCTGTTCGTCAACAACATGGCGGACGACGACATCTGCGCGCTGCCCGGCCAGCTCCACCTGGGGGAGACCGCGGACGCCGACGACGACGACGACCACGATACGCGCGGTGGCGCCGTGGGAGGGCAGAGTGGAGCGGCGCAGTCAGCGGCGTACAACCCCGATGTCCCCGCGCACGACGACGACGACGACGACGAGGACTTCGTGCCCAAGTCCATGCCCGGAGACTTCTACCCGCAACAGCCAGCCCAGCAATCTGCTGTTATCGCGCCTCACGCCACTGCGTCTGATCCCCCCCCGCCCGGTCGCAAGGTCCCCTCGCGCGGACTGAGCTTCTCGCTCTCCTTCTCGCACTCGCGGTCGCGACCGCGCGAGCAGCAGGTGGACGTGGACGACCTCGTCAGCCGCGTGCGCGCCCTCGCCACGGCCAGTGCCACCGGCGCCGATGACCCGCTCGCCGTCGCGTCGTTCCGCTCGTCGACCCCGTCGACGGCGGCGTCCGCATCCCTATCGCCGGTGGCGCACGGCGCAGCGCTGAAGCGGTCGGGCAGCCACGGCAGCCGCTCCAGGTCCGGCGGCCACGGCTCCCGCAGCTTCAGCTTCGTTCACGGCAGCGCCAGCGGCGGCGGCGCTAGCGGCACCCTGTCGCAGTGGCTCAGGGGAAACCGGGCGTCGCTGCTGCCTGCAGATGCTGCGCGCGTGTCGCCCGCTAGCGACGGGACGGGCGGGCAGGTTGTCTCGCACAGCGCGGAGCTGACCCCGGCGAAGCAGCAGGGAGGCGAGGGGGGCGCTGTGGAGAGCCTGGAGCAGGCGCTGGCACAGGTGCAGCAGCACGCGCACGCACAGGAGCAGGGGCAGGGGCAGGGGCAGGGGCAGGGGCAGGGAAAGGAGGTTGAGGAAAAGGTTGAGGGGCAGGGAGTGGAGCAGGGGCAGGAGCAGAAAAGTTCGGGCTGTAATAGACGGCACCGAAGTTGCTCGCACCCTAATCGGCATCACCGCCACCACCGCCTTCGCCAGCAGCAGCAGCAGCAGCAGCAGCAGCAGCAGCAGCAGGGGCAGTGTGAAGCGTTGAGCGGGGGAGCTAGTCCACGCGGCAAGCAGGTGCGCCTCACCTAGTCTACTGTACATTACCGTGTGCTTGTGACTGGATTGCATCGTGAATTTGTTTACCGCGCCTAGAGCTTTTCACGCCTGGACATCCTCACCAGTTTCTCCAGCTCATGATCTCCTGTGTGTTGCCATCCTCTTCTTCTCTTCTTCCTTGCGCCCTGTGCAGGACGGTGGCGAGGCGTCACCGGGCAAGGCAGCGACGGCAGCGGGGGCGATTGCCATGTCCATGCGCAAGAAGAAGAGCAAGTTCGCCGCAGCGGGCGGCACCAGCCCCACCAGCCCCACCACCCCCACCAGGAGTGCCAACGCCACCAACTCTGCTCCATACGGCAGCGCTGCCTCGGATTCGTGCAGCTCTGGCGGCAGCAGCGAGTACTGCAGTGAGTGCGCCTCCCCCACTGGCCTTGCGAGCCCCAATGCGCCTGCGGTTGATCCCCGCGCGTATGTGTCTCAGCACCAGCAGCGCCCACTGCATTCCTACCAGCCGCCCCACGCCCAGGTGTCCGGGGCACAGGTTCCCGTTGACACCGTGCCCCAGGCGGCGGTGTCGTCGCCCCCACGGGAGGAGCAGCTGCAGCAGCTGCAGTCGCAGCTGGAGCAGTTCCGAGACGAGTACAACGAGCGCCGCAGGCACGCCGAGGACCGCAAGCACCACCCGCCGCACTCACCACAGAAGCAGCTGGGCGGTAGTGACAGCAGCAGCAATAAGGGCGAGGCAGGGGTGGCAACAACACGGCAGCAGCAGCTGGAGAAGCAGAAGCAGCAGCTGCTGCAGGAGCTGCAGGGCGGGCTTCCTGAAAAGCCCGCCAAGGCGAAAGAGCTGCCGCGCATCCCAGACATCTCCCTCATGGTGCCGTACCCCCCCTCGCCCATCTACGCGCCCCGCCCCCCCTCGCTGCTGTCGTCCGTGCTGGACCACACGTGGGCGGGCAAGGACAAGGACAGGAAACGCGAGAGGGACCGCGGCAGCACGGGCTGGGGATTCGTGTTCGGACGGGGGAGGGGGGATAGGGAGATGGAGAAGGGTTCAAGGGGCACGGACCGAGCACTGCGAGCGAGGAGCTCCATATTTGCGTCCGAGAAGAGCAAGCGGGCCGTGCCGGTGGAGCAGAGGAGCCAGGAGGCGGAGTCCACCTATGGGGGCTGGTTTGGGTCCCGTAGCCCCCCGCCTGGCCTCTCCAGCTTTGCTGGCAAGGGTGAGGATGTGAGGGGTGGTGGTGGTGGCAGTGCTGGAGCGGGCCGGTCGTTCATGGTGGGGACAGGCGCCTCGCAGCGCTCTGCCTATGACGCGTGGCTGGCGGGCCATGAGGGTGGGCAGGGGGGAAGCACGGGTGGCGTGGGGGAAGGAGGGAGGGCCAGGCACTTGTTTGGGGGAGGGTGGCGGCGCTGACGAGAGCCTGCTGACCTGGGCGGACAGGATTCCATTGAGGGACGCTGTGCTAATGCCCCTCTCCACCAATGCCCCTCTCCACCAATGCCCCTCTCCACCAATGCCCCTCTCCACCAATGCCCCTCTCCACCAATGCCCCTCTCCACCAATGCCCCTCTCCACCAATGCCCCTCTCCACCAATGCCCCTCTCCACCAATGCCCCTCTCCACCAATGCTGCTGCAATCGTATTTGCAAGAATAGGTGCTCCGATGATGGGTGTTTGCCTTTGGCCAGCAGTGTTGTGTTTGTAAAGTTGGTGTTCCCGGGACCCAGGGTGTGCAGGCATGGAGTTGCCATCTCTAGGCTGTGGGGGAGAACTGAGATGGACCCCAAACCCTGAAGGTGGCGGATGGGCAGCGTTTGAGTGTGTATGAGGCTGCTGCGGTGCTCGTTGTGGGCATTGCTTTGGCGGCCCCTAGGAACATGCCCTTACACTCATGCTGCTCACGGCTGGTAGGAGATGGGGGGCTTGTGGGGCCGGGCCTTGCCTGGAAGGGCCTCAACGCTATGGGAGGAGACTGAGTAAATTGTAGGGAACATGTTGAGGTTTTAGTACCTTTTGCACCTGCATGCATCCATGCTGGCCAAATCTTGGCAATACGTTGACAAGCCTTTTTTGTGCTCATCTTGCACAAACCAGCGGTTGCAGCCCATGAACACTACTCGTTGAGGGAAATGGCTAACCAGCGCAGTGAGTGCGATGAGGGCATGGCCGTTCGTCGTCGCATCCACGTGTGCTGCGGATCCCAGACGCCCGGCGCGCGTCTATGAGAACCGGATGTGCATGCGAGGGTCCCAGTGCCAATACCCTGTGCGCGCCCGTTGATCGCAGGGCGTCGCGTGTGGCGGCCCGTTGCTTGACCGCGTGCGTCCGCCTCTCCCCGCCACCGCGTCCGCCATGCTGTGTGCGCCACCGCCCGCCGGTGAGCGCAGCGATGGCGTGCCGCGCATGGTGGTGCTCGTCGTGTCGGCGGAGCGCGGAGAGCAGCGCGCGGCGCAGAAGGGTGCGCTCCGAGAGATGGGAGACGGGGGGCGCGGTGAAAGTGATGAGGAGCGGGCGCGAGGAGGTGGCGGAGAGGAGGCCGCGCGCGGGGCGATAGCGGCGGACGAAGCAGGGGGGGAAGGAGCAGGCGGGGAGGCGAGGGCGGGGGAGATGGAGGAAGAGGCGCGGCTATTGCTGAGCATCGAGCGCTCAATGTACGGCCGTGGTGATCTGTGTGGGCCACACCCCGATGGGTCATGGTGTATGGTAGCACGGTGCATGGCCATGGTTGGGGGCCACGGGAGGTGCACGCACGGCCGTGCAACGGTCATGAGCGCGCTGTTGCCACCGTGCATTGTGGTTTCTGTGCTGGGACACGTCTCCACCGCACCCCCGTGGCCCTCATGCCACCGCCTTTACTTGCGCCACCTGCTCTCACGCACAACCCCAATAAGCCCACCAGCCTCCCCTTGCTCTCTCCTCCTCCTCTCCCCCCCCCTCCCTCTCCCCCCGCTCTCCCCCCTTCCCCCCAGCCTCTCCCAGTCGTGCACGTACTTCGCCACGCTGCTCTCGTCGTTCCGCGAGGCGTCTCTCCCCGCGCTGCACATCCGCTGGCAACCCGCGCTCTTCGCCCTGCTCCTCCCGCACCTGCTGCCAGGCCTGCTCCCCCCCTCCCTCTCCGCACCACATATCCCGGGCCTGCTCGCGGTACGTTAGCTGCTGCTCATGGGGGGGGTGGGTTGGGGCATGGTGGTAATTTGACATGGCATGATGGCGTGGGGGCATGGGGCCATGGGGCCATGGGGCCATGGGGCCATGGGGGGCATGATGGGATGGTGATGACATGAGAGCTGTGCTTGCCCATATCCATGCATGCATAATACTGCCCTTCGTGTCTCCCCTCACCCCTCCTCACTCCTTCCCCTCTTCCTTCCATCCCTCGTCCCGTCCCTCTGCTTCTCGCCCCATCCGTCCTCCCTCCCCCACCAAGAGCGCTGTGTACTTTGGAGTGCCGGCAGCAGTGCGCGCAGCCAACCAGTGGGCGCACCGCTGCTGCAGCGCAGGGGGGAGGGGGGAGGGTGGCACAAAAGGAGAGAGGGCAGGCGTGGGTAGTTGTACCTGGGTTTGCTTCCCTCCCCCTGTATCTGACGTCCAATGGCTCACTGCCACGTGGAATGCAGCATGTGATGCAGGTGAGCTGCCCCTCGTAAATCCTGTTCTGTGCTGCATGGGGTCTCATCAACGACCATCGTGTGCCCTCCCTCACTGCTGCCATTGCAGTATCCATCCCGCTCCTTGCACTGTGCGCCCACCATCTCCTCATGTCATCCTCTCTTCTCCCCCCCCAACCCCCCCCTCTTCCGTCACTCCCCTCTTGTTCTGGCGGCTCCTTGATTTGTGCGTGCACGTTCGAGTGCATGTGCTGGATGCCCATGGCTGTGTGCCTGTGTGTGGGCATGCTAATGCATGTGCGTGCGTGTTGCTGCGTGCAGGTGCGTGCTGTGTGCAGCACTTGTGTGCGGTCGTCACAGCCGTTGAGCTGGTGAGTGCATCGGATCACTGCCGTTCCTCATGCCACCCCACCCACTGCTCCCCTCTGCCCTGCCAATTGCATGCACCTCTCCGTGCTGCTCCATTCTTGCTGCCTTGTCGCTTGCCCTCCATTTTCTAACCTTGAAACATTCCGTTCCCCCCCGTTCCTCTCCTTCCGCACGCACCTCCTCCCCTCGCCCTGCACCTTTTTCGCTCTCGCCCCTCAGCCGCACTTGGCGCATCACCAGCGCCACGGCGTGCCGCTGCTGCCGCGGTCGCTGCTGCTGGCGGCGCTGTCCACCCATCGGGCGCTGCTCAACGTGCCAAGGCATGCTGCTGCCGCCTCTCCCACCACCTCTTCGAGCGCCCGTCCAAGGCCCTGCATACACCTCTGTGAACCCTTGTTGCTGCTTGCTCGCCCATAGGTACTTCACCCTTGCCTTGCACTTCTTTGTGCCTCAATCTTCATGTTTCCCTCCGTGCGGTGTGCATGTCTGTGTGTGGCGTGCAGCGAGCAGTGGCTGTGCGAGGTGCTGCTGTGGTGGGCGCTGGGCCAGCAGGCAGAGGGGGGGCTGGCAAGCACAGGCGAAGGTGGGGCACAGGAGGGACGCTTGCTCCAGGGAGAAGCGGAGAGAGAAGGGAGCGGAGCAGAGGGGGGCGAGGAGGAGGAGGATAGAAGCGAGTTGTATTGCGATGGCTATGTGTACATGCTCGGTGTGCATGGGGCGGGCAGTGCGCATGAGGTGCTGTCGTCCCCTCAGCATTCACAGCGCCCGGGGAACGAGGCGTCCAGCCTGCTGGCGCATGTGAGTGCTGCTTGCCTCCTCCCAAGCCTGTGACACACATGTATGCACACACACATTCACACACTGTTCAATGCTCACATGCTGCAACAGTTATGGACAATGCTGTGCCCCTCTTTGCTGAACTAGCTTCCCTCAGCTCAGCAAACCCCTCTCCGTTTCTTCCTCTCGTATGGCGTGCTTGCAGGTTGAGCAGTCTCTCCTCCCACCCGCCTTCCTTCAATGTAACCAGCTCAAGCCGCCCTTCAGCCTCGTGCCTCTCCCCGTGGCCATCATCCCTCCCTCATGAGCCTCCGTTCAGCCCTTGCCTCACTCGCATGTGCACCGCACCAGCCCACTCGTTTCCTTCGCCGCACCGCCCGCCTTGTGTTCCTCACCATTCCGTTTTCTCCCCTGCGCCCGTCAGCCCCCTTGGGCCGCCTATTTCGTTCCGTGGCAGCAACTGACAGCAGCCTGGAGGGGGCAGGCAACGAGCAGCATGGCAGCACGTGGAGCGGCGGCAGCTGCAGCAGCAGCGTGGGAGGGCAGGGCAGGGAGAGCAGCAAGGGGCTTGTGTGCATCTCCCCGTGGACCCAGGCATGCCCGCTGCCCATTGTGCCTCCGCCTCTCCTCCATCTCGCACCTCTTTCACACGCCTCATTGGACCAGGCGAGCCTGCTCTGTTGCTCGCTCCTTCCACCGGTGATGGGGCACTCTTACTCTCTCCTCCCCTCACTGTCTCTCCGTCTGTCTGTGTGTCGTTGTGCAGGCCTATTCGTTCGCAGGCTGCTCTCTTCTCCACCCTGACGCCTTTCTCTCCTCATCCGCCTCTCTCTCGCGCTTCTTACCACCCGCACCGCCAGCGTTGCCTCTGCCATGGGAGGCATCACCGCAGGCACTCCCAACATGCGCGCTCTCTAGCCCTCCCCTATCCTCCGCCCCCTCCTCCCCTCCTCCCACCCTGCTGCCTGTCCCTCACCTCCCCTCTCACACGCTGACCACATCCACCCCTCAACATCCCCTCCCCCTTCCCCCCTCCTCCCTGCTCGCCCACCTGGACGTCTCGCGCTGCCCGCTGCTGCTGCCCTTGCACCTCCATGCATGGGCATCAGCATCAGCCCCCCCTCCCCCACTGCGCCGCCTCACCGCGTGCTCCTGCCCCGCCCTGCTCCCCATCCCCACCCTCCGCGGACTCGCATCGTCCTGCCCAGAGCTTCATTCCGTGGATCTATCCATGCCCGAGCCTCCAGTGTTTTGTAGGGGTGTTGTGGGACCACGTGGAGGCGTGGCTGCTGTGCCTTGTGCAAATGATGGGGATTGCGGCAGCAAGGGTGCGGGTAAGAAGGCGCACAAGGCTGTACCCGGTGCCAGCCGGATGGCTACACGCGATGAGTTGCAGGCAAAGGACCGCGCTCCTAGTGCAGTGAGTCAGAGTCAAGTACAAGGACGCCATGGCAGGAGCAGTGCAGGGCAGGGGAGAAGAGGAGCACACATGACAGATAACAAGCGGATGGGTGGAGGTGGGGAGGAAGAGGCGGAGGAGGCGGAAGAGGAGGACTTGAGTGGGGAAGGCAGTGGCAGTGAGGGGGTAAGGGAGACTGCGAGTATGCTGGTGCCCCTGCACCTGCTGTACAACCCATGGCGCCTCAAGCATCTCACGTCTCTCTCGCTGCGCTGGCAGCAGCAGCTCTCAGGTACACTGTGTTGCGCTGTGCCCTGGAGCCACCGTACAGGCCAGCAGCACTGTGGCTTGTGTGGCACCCCGCCCCTTTCTTTCTCACGCAGCTGTCCCATGTGTGTGTGCAAGTGGCTGTGTGCAGACGAGCATCTGATGGAGTTGGTGCTGGCGTGCCCTGCCCTGGCCCGCCTGGACATCACAGGGTGCGGCGCCCTCTCAGACCGCGCCATCGCTGCGCTCATCACCTCGTACACGCGCGCCCCTCCCACCCCCGCCTGCCGTGCTGCTCGCCCAAGGAAAGCCACACGCCGGCAGAAAGGCAGCCATCCTTTTCGCTCCGAGAACCCTCCGTCCTCGCCCTTATGTCGGTCCGCCTATGACGCCCCCCGCTGCCATCTGCAGCTGTCCCACGTGTGCGCCGCCCACACTCTCCTCAGCCTCCGCTCCCTGCACGCCCTCTCCTCTGCTCTCATGGCAGCCGCTGCGGCAAGAGGGGGCACGGATGGTGATGATGATGATGACGAGGAGGATGGGGAGGAGGAAGAGGAAGACGAAGAGGAAGAAGATGAGGAGGAAGAGGAGGAAGAGGAAGTGGAGGAGGAAGATGATGGAGGAAGTGAGGGAGATGAAGAGCAAGTGAGGGAGAGGAAAAGAGAGGGCCGTGGACACATTGATGGCATCCACTGTGGTCTCAGGAAGCTGCAGCTGGATGGATGCCCAGGTGAGGGAGTGCGGGAGGGAAAGAGAGAGAGTGTGTGTGTGCTTTTGTTGTGCGTGTTTACGCACTTATCCCTTCCCCCCCATCTCTCATCCCTATCTCCCACCCTTACTCCCATCCGCACCCGCGCCCCCAAGCAGCCCTCCGCCACTCTCTCCCGCTCCTGCAAGTGCTCTCAGCAGCCAGCTCCTCCCTTACTCACCTCTCCCTCTCACACACTCACTCACACGCCCACGCGGGAGAAGCAGCAGCGCACAGGGACAAGGGGAGGGGTGGAGAGAGGAAGGGAGGGGCGAATAAGGGCGATGGATGCCTTAATGCAGTGGATGATGCGTTTGTGGCCAAGTGGCTGGATGGTGCGCGCACCATGGATGCACGTGGCACCCACCACAGCAGTGAGAGCAGCAGCGGCAGCAGGAGCAGTGACGTCATACGTGTGCTGCCCCACCTGACTCATCTGAATGTCTCCGATGCCCCCGTGAGTCCCACATGCCACCCTGCCACGCTCCTTGCGTCATTGTGCACCTGCCCAGCTCATGCCAGGGTTCCGCTACTTTCCATGCTCTCCAGTTTGCCCCATCGAATGCCCCATCTCCCTCTAATCGTTCCTTGCCTGTTCCCGTCGTCCTCTTTCTCCATTGCATTTCCCCTCCCTTTCGACCTTTCACCCTCCCTCTTCTCCTCCTCTACACTTCCCAAGTTCGCCCCTCCCCTCCCCCAATCCCTCGCCCCCATCACCCCCCTGCCCCGGCACCAGCTGTCAGCATCAGGCATCAGCGCGCTGTGCATTGCCGCCCCTCGCCTGCACCATCTCCTCATCACCGGATGTTGCAAACCCACCCCCCCACTCCCCTCCTCCTCCTCCGCCCCCCCCACCACCATCACCATCCCCCTTCGCCTCGCCACCCTCCATGCCTCGTGGGCACTTCCCCTCTCCCTCTCCATCCCTCCCCCCTCACTCACGCCTCCCGTCGCTCGCTCCTCTGACGGCTCCCCACCACCACCACCACCACGTGCCTTCCCTCTGCGCCACTGCCTGCGTGCGCTGTGCGTGGGCCTGGGTGCCACCATCTCCGATGCCTCGCTGCGCGCCATTGCCGCCCTCTGTCCGCGCCTCACCGCGCTCACACTCACGTTCCAGGTGACGCACGCATGCCACCTGCCTGCTGCACCACTTGTGCGTGCGCCCTCTCAACCCATGCGTCCCTGCTGCCTCCATAATGAGGTCCAGCCTCTACACTAGGGTTGGAAGTGTGACAAATGCTTGGCCCTTCATCCGACCTTCCTATCAACGGGTCCATATGACGTTCTTTTCCCTCTCCTACCTTTCCTAAGTTGCTGCCGTTTTAACCTTTCCTGTGATTCCTTGCTCTCTCATCCCATCCCCTGCATGTCCCTTCCCTCTCTCCACCTCCCCTCGTGCCCGCACCCCAGCCTGTGTCAGATGACGGAATTCTGCCCCTCCTCGCCTCCTGTCCCCTCCGCCACCTCGCTCTCCTGCACTGCTGGGGTCCTTTTTCCCCCTTGCTCTTTTCTCCCTCACCCCTCTCCGTGCACATCTCGCTATCCCACTCCACCCACCATGCCCACCACCCCGCGTCTGCCACCCATGGCACAAGGCCCCTACCCCTCTCATCGCTCTCCCTCAGCGGCGGCTTTGCCTGGCTCTCCTCGCCGCACCTCCCTCTCCTCGCCGCCGCTGCTCCACTGCTGCGCTCGCTCTCCCTCTCCGCTTGCCCCTCGCTCTCCCATGGTACATGCCTCTGCCCGCCCAACCTCCCATCCCCTTTCATCAGTCGTCCTCATCTACACATGCTGCAAGCGTCCGTTCTTCCTTCCTCCGTTCTGTCTTCCTTTCGCTCACCCGTTCCTTGTTTCCTTCTGCTTTGTTTCCCACCAGACGCCCCACTCATTCTTGTCAACTCTTTCCCTGCGTTGACCTCACTCACACTCACGGTAAGCCCCCCCATGGTGCATTGAGGCCACTCACACAGTTTGGTCGCGCGAGCCGGCACCCACTGCACTTGGCCAGTCACCGCAGATTCACTGCTCTCCAGTCCTCAAGCCATCTGCGTACGCACCAGCACTGCTTAGTCCTTCTCTCATGCCAGTTCTCCTCATCTTTCTCCCCCTCTCCCCACCCCCAACGCCATCAGGAGTGCCCCAACCTCTTCACCCACTACGCACCCTCATCCCTCTTCGCCCTCAGCGCCCTCTCCTCCCTGCACGTGCGCCACACGGTACATCCCTGCTCAACCTCCCTCCCTCCCTCACCACGCCCCAACCTGGTGCCCTCGTCTGCACACTGATGCGCCATGCTGCTGTGTCACTCAGTCTCCCCCTTTGTCTCCCCCCCCCCTCTCTTTCTCCAATCCTCCCTACCCTGCCTGTATCCCCTCGTTCCCTCTTTCCCCCTCCTTGTTAATCTTCCCTCCCACCACCCTCCTTCCACCTCATGCCCATCTCCCACCCTCGTGTGTGGCATCAGGGCAAGCAAGCCCCTGCCAACTTTATTCAGCAGGCAGCTGGCCGGGTAAGCTGAAGCGGGTGAGGCAGATAGGGGCAGGTGGGAGTATGGCAGCTGGGGAGGGATATTACCATCAACATGCAGTTCAGGCCTTACCTGCAAATTCACTTCCTCTACAAATTCTCTTTATTTGAGCTCCCCTTGATCTCGGCCCCCCTGCCCTGCCCTTCCTCTCCCCGCCCTGCTCTCTCTCTCCGCCTTGCCCCCATGCCCCCATGCCCCCTGGCAGCTGCCAGCGCTGCAGCACCTGTCGCTGGACCTGTGTGACGCCGTCACCTCCTCCTTCCACGTGCCACACGAGGTAACCGCTGGGCCAACAGCCAACATGCCATGCCATGCCATGAACCGTCTCAGGAGGTTCTCGTGCCCCCACCCAATCACCTTCCAGGCGCGTCTGATCCGTGTAGTGAAGCAGTGAAGGGCGTGCCCATGTGTTGTGGTGCGTGGTGTGCTGTGCGTGCAGGGCCGGGAGGACATGCACGTGATGGGCAGCAGCCTGCTGGTAGTGAGGCTCTTCAAGTGCCATGTGCCGCACACACATGCGCACTCGCTCACCACCCTTGCTTCCTCGGAAGGCAACCCTCAGAAACGAACTCTGGGCACGAAGGATGTCCTCGTTATTGTCAGAACCCCCAACGGCATCTCAACAAGTGTTGAGAATGTCTCTTGATGTGCACATGGCATTTGTTGGTACTCAATGGGCCTGTGGGCCGGGGATGCAGTCATGGAAGGGGTAGTGAGGAGAAAGCATGATCCTGCACTACTGTGCTTGGGCGATGTGTCAAGCAATCATTGACCACTGCGTTCCAGTTAGGCCTGTGTACCAAGCCAAGTGAACATGAGTTGTTTCATGTGCTATGCACTGCGCTGTGACTCGCCATACGCATAGTGAAGCAATGCCCTGTGCAGCTACCCTCACTCCACAGAGGTACGTTTCTGACTGATATATTCAGAGTTCACACTACAGCTTTAGCTTCACAGCAATCCCCATGCGTTGCTGCCATGCATCTTCTGACAACATACATGCAGCATCCACTCCCACTCCTTCCACCTCCATGCGTCAACTCGTCAACAACTCACAACCTCAACCCACCCTTCTACCCGGCTCATTACCTTCCTCTCCTGCTCCTCTTCGCTCTTCTCTTCTCCCCTCCCCGCCTCTCACCTCTCTCCACATCCCTCCTTCCTTCTCCCTCGGTTGCTCCTTCGCCTGTCGCCATTCTTTCTTCCCTTCAACCATTTTCCTCCCACTCCCCTCTTCTCTCCCCCCTGCCGTATCCCTCGCACCATCCCCCCTTCCCCCTGCCCGCCTGTGTGCCAGCACCATCTTGAGCGCGTACCTAGCCGCGATGGCCAGAGCCAGTGTTCTCAGGAGGCCTCCATCGCCCTCTGCCACTGCTGCACCGCCCGCCACAGCAGCACCTACCACCTCACGCGCTAATTCTGCAGCGGCTGCTGCCGCATGGAGCCAGTGAGCGGGCAGCAGAGGCAGCAAGGGGCGGAGGAGGTAGGAGCAGAGGAAGCGGTGGAGGGCGGCGGTGGAGGAGGAGTGCAGGGAGGAGAGCGAGGAGAGGGCAAGGTGGTGCAGGGATTGGAGCATGCCTGGGGCATCTTCGTCTATCAGTCGAGGTGGCTGGACGGATGGACCCAGACCAAACAATAAGTTTTTAGCTGCGTTCCCACTTGCTCTCCTGCTGTCCCCACTGCTGTCCCCGTGGGTGTTCCCCTGCTTGCTGTCATGCTGTGGCGAGGGCTGTGGCGTGGCTGCGTCCCCTGTGTGCAGCGCGTGGTTGATCCACTCCACCATGCCCGTGCGGTTGCTGCCATCCACCACGCCACCATACACCGACACCACCACCCATGGCCTGCTTCCACGCTGCCGCTCACTGCCGTCCTCACCCTCACTCTCATAATCATCTTCATCATCAACATCATCCCCATCATCCCAATCACCTGCCTCCACACCCCCCTCGTCCAATCCTATACTATCTCTCACCCCATCACCTATCACCACCTCTTCTCGCCGATCCCCCCTCCTCTCCCCGCCTTTCCCCCTCCCCTGCCCCCTGTCCCCCGCACCCCCCCAGCGCATGCGGGTCATGAAGGCGCCCACAGCAGCGGGGCGCCCGTGCTTCTGGCACCACTGCGCGCCGTGCCAGCCCAGCATGTACGCGCACCACTGCACCTGCACCGACCCATCCAGCCACGCCATGGCCACCCGCCCCTCCCTTGCTGCTGCCAGCAGGGCCGGTGGGATGCTCCTTGCGTCACCTCCATGCGCTGCTGCCGCCGTTACTGCCTCCTGCTGCAACCCCGCTGCCGCTGCCACTGTGCCCCCACCGCCTCTGCCTGCCGTTGTGTGTGCAGCAGCACCACCAGTCGCAGCTGCGCATGTCAATGAATCCGTGGCGTGTGCAGCACGGAGGGCAGCAGCAGGTGTGGCAGACGCAGCATCTGTAGCACTGCCAGCTGTTGCCACGGCAGAATCCTTCACATCAACCCCACCGTTGCCATAATTATCGCTATCATCACTATTATCCATATCACAAGCAGCAGCACCATCATCTTCATCATCACCATCATCAGCAGCGGCAGCAGCAGCGGCAACGGCAACGGCAACGGCCTCCTGTATGTCCAAGAGGGCGGCACGGGCTCGATGCAGAGCAGGCGATGGTGTGCCCACCACCACCACACAGTACCTCGTGCGCATGCGCCCCTCCCTCTCCCTCGCCACCCTCCTCCTTCCATCCCCCCCTCCCTCAGCAGCGCGCCCTGCCTCACATCTCGCCCTCTCCTTCTTGGCCCTCCAGGCCCCCGCTGCCCTTCCCTGTCCGTCGCTCCCAGCCCTGGCACCATGGCCAGCCTCCCTGGGAGGCGAGAGCAGCGCTGTGAGGAAGTAGGGCGGGGGGGCCGAGGGGGCGGAGGGATCGCAGGCAAGGCGGGCAGCGGAGGAGGCGGTGAGGTGGGGCAGGAGGAAGGAGGCGAAGCGCTGCAGGGCGTGGCGCAGGACGGTGGAGTTGAGCGGGCCCTGCACCACCATGGGCGCCACCCCCGGGTCGCGGTAGATGCCCAGCGCGGGCGCCCGCTGCACGCGCCACCAGCGCTGCCACGCAGCCGCGTCGCCCTCCTGCCATGGCACTGCCACCCACGCCACGAGCCCCACGCTACTGCCCGCCCAATAGCGCGCCTCCAGCGATGCGGCACGGCGCCCAGGTGGCAGCAGCAGCACAAAGCGCACCTGGCGGTCTGGGGCGAGGCGGAAGAAGCGTGCGGGGAGGTGTGGCAGGGGCACCACGGGGATGGGCGGCACGCGCAGCAGGGACAGGAAGGCAAAGCGGCGCAACTGGCGCAGGGAGGGCAGGGGCGGAGGGGGAGCGTTGAGATGGTGGTAGGGGGACGAGGGGGAGAGGTGGAGGAGGGAGAGGAGAGAGGGTGATGAATGTGTGGGGGCTTCGGGGTTTGCAGTGTGCGACGGTGGTGAGGGGGTTGTGGGTGATGGGGCGGCAGTGGGTGCACGAGCACCGTTGCTCTTGCGGCCCTCACCACCGCTCTCGTCCGCATCCCCACGCTCACCACCATCGCCACCTACATCCGGCACACCAGCAGCAGCAGCAGTGCCAGCAGTGCGCCCAGCACCACTGTCGCTCTCCCTGGCTGCCTCTGCATGTCCCAGCACCTCCCCTGATGCAATCAGAAACTCGCGAAGACGAGCTAGGGGGTCTGCAGACAATGCTCCGTTCGCCGCCCTGCTTTCCTTGCTGACCGTTCCACCACCGCCATCAGCCTTGCCCTTTCCCCACACATCACCCATCAACAACTCGTCTCTCCCCTCCGTGCCTCCCTCTCCTCCCTCGTCTCCCTCACCATCGTCCTCCTCTTCTTCCTCCCTCGCTCTGCCCGCCACCCATCCCACCCATCGCTTCCTGCCCGCTCGTCTCCTCAGCCGCACCAGGCAGTCCACGTGGCGGCACCCAGCTGGCCGCCCCACAACTTCGGGCAGGCCGGCAGCGAAGAGCCTCTTAGCTGCGAGGCAGGTCCTTTCAGCCAGGCGCAATGCAACCTGCGTGTGCTCGCCTGCATCGACGTGGCCCAGGCGCGCAATGCCCTTGAGCTGCACGGCCAGGGCGGACCACGCAGGCAGCAGCGCCAGGGAGCGCGGGGAGGAGCGCGAGAACAGCAGCAGCAGCCAGGGGTGCGCACTGGCAAACACCCGGTCCACTATGTTGCGTGCTGTGATGGGCACGGATGCGCGCAGCCAGGGGTGTGTGGCTGTGAGAGGCGCAGGCGAAGGGCGGAGGAGAGTGGCGTGGGGGGAGAGGGGTAGCAGGGAGTCGAAGATGCGAGCAGCACAGGTGGTGGCGAGAGGGAGGGAGTGGGGGAGATGGTGCGCAGCAGAGGGGGAGCAGCAGACGGCAGGCAGGGAGTGGTGGTGGGGATGGCGTGCACACTCTGACCGCTCACTCTCGCCCTGCCCCTCCCTGCCACTGTGCCCGCTGCCCTCACTGCCAGCGCCACCGCCGTTGCTGCGATCAACCAACCACTCACAGCACGTCCAGTCCGGGTGCATGCCCTCACTTGTGCCACCATGAGTCCGCTCCTCATCCGCCCGCCCGACATTGCCACCACCACCCGTCAATGCCACGTCATAGGCGGCGTGTGCCACGTCATCTTCCCCCAACACGTCGTACAGGCGTCGCAGTCTGGAATTGGACAGCACCCGGTACGCTTGCTCCAGCTGCACCCGAGGGGGGGCGGGGGGGGGGGAATGCGGGGGGAGGGAATGCGGGGGGAGGGAATGCGGGGGAGGGAATGCGGGGGGAGGGAATGCGGGGGGAGGGAATGCGGGGGGAGGACATGAGCGGATGTGATGTGGGGTAGGGGGGAGATGGAGTAAGTGCAGAAGGGGGGATGAGAGTGGGAGAGGGGGGAAGGGGGGAGAGGGGGGAGAAGGGGAGAGGGGGAGAGGGGGGAGGGGGGGGAGAGGGGGGAGAGGGGGGAGAGGGCAGGCATGGATGCGATGACGGAATGGAAGGCAGCCTCGGAGCAGCGCGCATGGCATGCTTCTGCCCGCAACACCGCGATGCCCCCTGCTGCACTGCCCACGCGCCACGCTCGCCGCCATCCCACCTGCACGGCTCGCCGCTGACTGGCTTCCGGCGCCTCTGCGGCTGCAGCGCGCCACCAGGTGGCAAGACACGCGTCGTGCGCGGACTGGACGTCCTCCCACGACGCCGTGCGCGGGAGCGCCAGGAGGTGGTAGAGGGACTCGGATGGGCCGGCCACAGGATGAGGGGGACAGGGAGAGGGAGACGAGTGCGCAGCGGGGCGGAATGCGGTGGCGGGAGGCGCGGAGGTAAGCGGAGGAGGGGAGAGGGGGGAAGAGATCGATGGGGGGGAATGATTCGGCGCATAAGTCTCCTCATGCGGCGCGCTGTCACCGTGAAGCACGGCGGGTGGGGAGCACTCAGACGCGACGGGGCACGATCGCCGCCCATCGGCCTCCGCGGGCGTGGCAGCAGCGCCGCACGCGCAGGGAGACAGCAGCGCGAGGGCGAGGACGAGCGGCAGCGCCGTAGCGGGGTAAAGCGCGGGGCTCATCCTGGGGGTCGCTGACGCACGCGGGGGAGCGCATGGGGGCAATGCGGCGGAGATCCGCGAGTATTGGCGGCTTTTCTCCCGCCACTACTCACGGGGGGCAGGATGGATTGGATAGGCGCGAGTGGGAGCGCAGGTGGAGGTAAGACGCGGGCTTTTCTTGCGGGGGAGGCAGCGGCTGCTGTGGTCGCGCGTGCGCAGAGAACAGGTGAGGTGAATCTATTGAGCAGGGTGGCAGGGAGTGTCCCAAGCGCAAAAATATTGTTACTGGTTTCCGGTGGAGCTCGGTTGGGGACATTCGGGTCGTGGTGTATGGGTTCTAGAACCATGTAAAATTTCTTGCCAATATCATTACAATAAAGCCAACAAACACACTGAACTACGGACACACAAGGGTGTAACTCACCACAGGGGTCTAAACTGAGCAACAGATGCACCTGCTAGCCAAACATCACGCAAAGCCTCACCTCCGCCCCTTGCTGCTCCAGTGCTGTCCAGTGCGAATGCAAGAGTGGCGTGCACATGCGCAGTGCCACAGCTCACCAGCTTGCCCGTGTCCATGGAGTACAAGGCCACGCGGCACCCCACACCGCTCCCACCACCGCCTCCTTGGAGCGGCACCGGCACTACCACAAACCTGCCGCCATCAACAAACGCGGGGCGCACTATTTGCTTGGAAGGTCTAGTTGACAGTGAGCCAGTATATCTGTGGTGGCCAGAGAGGGCGAAGAGAGGAGTGGCAGGCACACGGATGTCGTGCACGAGCAATGCGTGGTCAAAGCTGGATGACACCACTATGTTGCTGCCGCTGCTGCTGCTGACACCAGTGGTGCTGCTGCCGTCGGTCCCTGAGAGGAGGGCAGTTGTGGGCTGCCAGTGGACGGTGTTGACTTGAGTGGCATGGCAGTGGCCCATGGCGATGGCAACGGGTGCCGCTGCCCTCATGTCCACCACCGCCATGCTGCCATCCGCTGCCCCATCCACAAACACATGCGAGTCACTGCTTGGCACATGTCAGGGGGAAGGGGGGGGAACGGAGGACAACAGAGGTGGGTGGAGAGAGAGAGTGGGGACACGGGGGGGGGGAGAGAGGAGCAAGAGGGAGATAGGGGAGAAGGAAGCAAAGTGTGGGAGAGGCAGAGGAGGGGAACGGCAATGCAGCGCAACAGGGCGCATGCAAGCTGGAGGGAGAAGCATGCACAGAAAGCTGGCAGGTTAGCCCCATGCAGGGGGGATGGGAGGAGGGCGTACCGGAGGTGCACAGCGCGCACAGCTGCATCGTGGTGGGCGAGCACGCGGTCGAGAGTGAGGGCTGTGGGCCCCACGCGGCTGACAGACACGGTCTTGTCCTTGGACGCCGCGGCCACCAGCAGGCCCCTCTCATGCATGCCGAATATGCCCTGCCGGTGCACGCCCGCCAGCTCACACACCACACGTGGCACAGTGTCACTGGGCGAGCCTGAGGCCTGCACGCGGCGGCGGCGAGTGGAGGAGGAGGGGGAGGCGCAGTGGTGGCGGTTGATGTCCCAGAGGGTGATGGTGCTGTCGTTGGAACTGGACAGCAGCAGAGTGGCGCCCGGCTGACACAGCACGCCAAGGGGAGGGCGCAAGAGGGAGCAGGGCACATTGGTAGGGAAGGTGAGAAAGGCATAGGCATGGTGGAGGTATACAAGACAACAACAATGAGATTACAATATTGGCAGGTGCAAAAGAGGAGGAGGCAGCACACCTGCATCTGGTGTGAGAGGAACTGAAGGTGTGAGATCCATCCGTTCCCGCCCTTCCATGTCAGCAGCGGCGCCACCTCGTCCTGCACCTCCTCGCCCTCCTCCTCCCCACCATCCAGCGACCACCACACTCCCTCCTCCCGCCCTCTGCCATCCATCTCCGCTGCCTTCCCCTCTCCCGCCTCCCTGCCACTCTCCCCCTTGCTGCCCTTCCCCCGCCCCCCTGTCATCCCGAAAACTGCAATCCGCCCCTGATGCCCCCCGGCTGCCAGCAGGTAGCACCCGCTGAAATTGCCGCCCCTGCTCTCACTCCCCAGGCCACCGTGCCCGCTCCCTGAGGCAGTGGTGGCAGCCCCGTCCATGGGCATGACGTGCAGCGCGTATATCCTGCTCAGACCCGCGTCCTGCATGTGCCCGCCGCGCACCAGCCCCAAGGTGAACGACTCCGCTGCTGCACCACTGACTGCAGGAAGTGGCACTTGCGCGGTGCAGCCATGTGTGTGCGAGGGACACGGTACCTTCACAGCGTCAACCTCGCCCGTCACCACATCCCCACCATCCGCGCTTGTCGCCCTCGTTGCTGCACTCCCATGCGTCCCGGTGCCGCTAATGCCGCCATCACCTCCGCTCCTCCCTTCCCCCGCACACCTGTCCCCCGCCCCTCCACCCTCGAGCACACGACACAGGTACTTCACCACGGACGAGTCACCATACGCCACGTCACCCTCCTCACCGCATTCCTCCTCGTGACTCTCCCCATGCCCCCCCTCTCCCACCCCTTCCGCACCCTCTGACTGCTTCCCCCCATCGCCGCGCCCCTCTTCCCCCTCTCCCTGCTGCCTCCCTCTCAGTCGCGAGCTGCGCCGGACCTCCACATGCCCACCCACGTCCGCGGCGCCAACCCTGCCGCCCTGCCGCCTCTTGCTCTTAACACTGCCACTGGCGGCGCTGGTGCCGGGTAGGGCAGTGGGGTTGGGTGGCAGCGAGGGGCGCGGGACGAGAGGCTGGATGCCCAGGTCGAGAATGAGCTGCTGGTTGCGCCTTATGTTCGCCAGCCGCCGCTTCTCGTACTCCGTCAGTGGCCCCGCCTCCACCGCACCCGCCTCACTGCTCTCCTCGCTGCCCTCGCCCTCCTCCTCATCCTCATCCTCCCCCTCCTCCTCATCCTCCTCCCCTTCATCAGCTTCCTCCGCAGCCCCATCCTGGTCCTCTTGCCGTTCTTCATGGCCCATCTCAGATGCACCGCTCCCCCCTATCGCCTGCCTCGCCACGTGGCCCGCCTCGCGCATCTGCGCCTCAACCGCCTCCCCTGCTGTGCTGCCATGCACACCACCGGCCGAATCCCCACCGCCTCCAATGCCCTCGCCTGCTCCCGCTTGCCCCCTGCATTCGCCCTGCTGTTGTTCCGCGTCCTCCCCTTCCTCACTCCCGCTTCCCCTACAATCTACGCTGCGCGCAGTCTCCTTCGCCGCATCCCCGCACCCCTGCCCGCCTTCACTCGCGCGGGCATCTGGCGGAAGGTTGACCGCGACGGCAGTTGGCGCTATGCTTGACCCCCCATCAGCCTTGCTCGAGTCGTGCACCATGGCGGGCCCGTCAACGTGCGCGCCCATTTCTCGCCGCTGCTGCGAGCCCTGCTTCTGCTCGCATCCTTCCTCTCGCATCTTCTCCCCTCGATCCATGGCGCCATCAGCCACGTCAGCACCTCCTGGCCGCGCCACACTAGCCGCACACCCATCCCCGCCTTTCCGCCAAGTCCCCTCCATCTCCCCCTCCTGTGAGTCACACCGTACATCCGCACTGCTGCTACTTCCCCCACCGCTGCCGCTGCTGCTTCTTCCCCTTTCCACTGCCTGCGCCTCCCCCAGCTGCCTCTGCCCTCTGCTGCGGCGCCTGCGGTCACCCCATCGCTCCGCGGATGCGCCTCTGCACGCGCCGGCGATGGTCCAATAAGCGGGGAACAGTTTCTCGATCCCATTTACCCCACCCAAGTCGCTTTCGCCTTGTCTCGTTACAGGCGCCCGCGCTGCAGCGCAACTGGTTTGCTTGTGCGCGCCGAGGTTGGGAGCGCCCGTGGTGTTGCCGTGGCGGGACGCCGCCGCACCCGCAGTGCTCCTCGTCGCGGTCGCCGCACCGCCGAGTGCCACGGGCGTTTCGGTTGTTGGCGCGGAGACCGCGCGGTTCTTGCCCCCCAGCATGCCGAAGAGCGACAGCTGCTTGAGGCGCTTGCCCTGCGGCTCCGAGGCAGCCCCGCCCGACCGCTTCTCCCCGCCACCTGCTGCCGCCACTAGTCCCGCCCCCCTGGGACCGTGGCCATCGCGAGGTGGAACCATTGCGAGCTGCGGCGGCTACTGTCACGATTCCGAGTGTTGGCGCCGCGAAGGTAGAGACGACGACGGAGTTGTTGGGGTGGTTCGGTGCTGCCCTAGGTAAACGCTGACCCACACCTAATCCTATGGCGCTATCACGAAAATAGCGGCGGTCTAGTGGCGGTGACCGGATGTCATATGTGGTGGAAGTGCGGTTAGGAAGGTGACGGAAATGCGGGAGGAAAGACTGGGATGGAGGCAGAGCGGAACAAGCAAAGCCTGCAAAGGCTGTGCGGAGGTTGTGAGGAGGCCAGCAAATGTGCCCCCAATTTGAAGGTTCGAATTTTTGCATGTGTACGCGTGTTAGATTATCCCGTTAGCAGGAGTACTCAGCAGAACATCAAATGTGCGGACCTAGAGTCTATGCACTAGAGAGGCAAATTTAATTTCATGGCTATATCGTGACCCAGGCGAATGGTGGCTGTAGCACCCAGTTTTGCGACCTGAACAGCATTGCTGATATGGGTGCTCACTCAAGGCAACCCAGCGACAGGCACTTGCTCCAGATGATCCGCAACGACCTCCGAGATTCTTCTGCAGACCTTCGCCTCCCACCGGCTAGCGGTCCATCTTACGACCGCTTCTTGTTGTTGCAGTAGTCTGCGACTGTCGTCGCTTCCGGAGGCAGCGTATGCCATCACCCGTGTTGTTCCGATCGCCGCTGCGGAAGGCTGCGCCGAATGGGCAACAGCCACAGCACCGCACACGTCCACCGCGCAGCCCACGGCGGCAGAGACGCCGCCACAGACGCTGGTAGCGCAGGCGCCGGCCGAACGAGCGCAGGGGGAGACGGACCGCCGGCCCCAGCGGAACCCGCGGGATTGCCGGCAGCCGGCAGCGAGCCAGCGGCAAGGCAGCGGGTGAGCGGCGGCGGCGAGGGGCAGCGGCGCGGGCTGTCGTCGCTGACGGCGGGGCTTCTCTCCTCCGCGCGCGAGCACAGAGGCGGCTCTAGGGGGCGCGGCTGGCGCACGCATGGCGGCACCTTGGCTCTAGGCGCAGCGCATGCCAACGGCGGAGACGCGCAGGTACCATGACTCGCCTACTGCCTCGTCTACTGCCTCGCTCCGTCCAAGGCCCGACGCAGTGGTGCCCGCACATGCGCGCATGCCGCACTCTTCCCCCTTTCCCTCCTCCCCTCTTCTCTAGGTTCTTTGCGGATCTCGCGTCTCCCTGGCTTATTCCCCCCCGGTCCCCCCTATCCGCCCCACGCCCCTCCTATTGTGCGCAGGTGCGCGCATCCCCTGCCACCCGCCAGCCTTCCGCTGGCACTGCGGGCAGGGGAAGCGCGGGGAGACGCGCGGGAATAGCGGCGGGCGCAGGGGCTGGCGGCACTGGGCGATCCACCACGGCGGCTGCTGCGGCTGCGGCGGCGGCAGCTGTGGCAGCAGCGACGGCAGCGGATGGGGAAGCGGAGGGAGGGGCCGCAGGCAGCAACGGCAGCGACGGCGCGGCTGGTGGTGGAGGCCGTGGGGCGAACGGGGAGGGTGGCGGGGGAGGAGAGGGGGGAGGAGGGGTTGGAGAAGGAGAAGGAGGGGAACGGGAGGCGTTGGAAGGGGGGAGCGCAAGGGGGGGGGAAGGGGATGGGGAGCAGGCAGCCATTCAAGAACAGGTACGGGGAGCAGGGTGGGCCATGGACAGGCGTTGACGGGCGTAGATGAGCAGCGATGTCGGCGAGCTCAGCACCTGGACCTATTTTGGAGCACAGGTGGTTTGTTTGGTGGTTGCGTGATGTGGCTCCCTCTTATTGCGGCCTATTCTTTCCTCCCCTCCACGCTCCATCCCCTCGTCTCTCTAGCGTCCCTCTCCTATCCCTCTAGCGCCCCTCTCCTTTCCCTCTACTTTCCCTCTAGCGCCCCTCTCCTTTCCCTCTACTTTCTCTCTAGCGCCCCTCTCCTTTTCCTCTTTTTCCTCCTTCAACCTCTCTCTTCCCTTTCGTTTCCCTCCCCCTCACCCCCTCCCCGCGCCCCCTTTGCAGCGCACACAGACGGTGCGCAGTCTGGTGAATCTGCGCAAGCACTCCGTGCACCTGCTGCCCGTGCCGCGCTGGCAGCAGGGAGGGCCAAGGGGCGAGCAGGAAGGAGGGCAGGATGAGCAGGCAGCTGCGGCGAGAGAGGCAGTGAGCGAGGTGGCTGAAGCAGTGGGGGCAGGAGAGCATGAAGGGGGCCAACAGCTCCAAGCTCAGCAGCAGCAGCAGCAGCAGCAGGGGCGGGGTGGAAATGAGGGCGAAGCGTCAGGGGATTCAGCATGGGGGGTAGGGGAGAGCAAGGATGAGGGGGTGAGTCGGAGTGCGGTGAAGATTCCACCTCTCTCATACCCTGCTGGTGCCTCCATATCCACCTCTGCCCCCACCTTGCCATCAGCATCAGCATCAGCAGGGGCATCAGCGTCAGCTGCAGCAGGCAGCGCATTGCCAGCATCAGGAGCGGCGGTTGCAGCATCAACGGCAGCCAGGACAGCAGAGGAAGCGGGTGAAGGGGATGCGGCAGCAGGCGGGCAGAGTGTGGAGCATCCATACGTGTACCGCCTGTCGTTCATCGCTGACTGCTCTGTACCGTGCAAGTAAGAATGCCTCCATGCCTCTTCACGGCTTCTCATGCCCCCATGCCACACCCTATCCCGTGTCTGTCCTTCTGTCTCCTGTACAGCCTGCACTGGTAGCACACAGCTACTATTGCCGTGGCACCTCAAGCACTCTCTTGCTGTGTGCCTTCTTGTGGATTGATCATCTCTTCTGTGCCTGCCACACCCCTCTCCATCTTGTGCCCATGTAATTGCTCCCGTGCAGTGTGACTGTGCATGTCATGGCGTATGAGAAGGACAGACACAGAAAAGACAAGCCACCCAGGTGGGCGGGTGGGGAGTGATGCTGTGGCAAGCGGGTACTGAGCAATGTCAGTGAGTTGTGCTGGCAGTGGAGGTTGAGCGCCACAACGATGTGCCCACACTTTGTCGCACGTGAGGCACATTGCACTGCACCGCGTGGTTTGGGCGAGGAGCAGCCTTGGGGTGAGCCAGAATTGCAGTGCGCAGATAAGGATTGCAGAATCCAGGTTCGTGTGAGCAGTGCACGTGTCTTTGATCTGTGCTGCTGCCCGTGACTGTCATCCCCTTGCCTCTGTGCCACGGCAACTCCAACAGCTCTCAGCATGCACCAAGTGGTTTTAAATCTCCACCCTCCCCCTCCCTCGCCCTCCGGCCCTCCCTCCCCTTCTTGACCCCATTGGCGCTCTGACTCTTGCCCCCATTCTCCCCCCTGCTCTCATTCCTCCCCCCTCCCCTGCCCCAGGCTCAAGTCGAAGGTGACGCAGCGCGAGGCGAGTGCGGCGGGCGTGATGGCGGGGCTGGAGCAGACGTTCTCGCTGCCGCCCTCCTGCCTGCTCGACTTCCACGCCTTCCAGGTCGCCCCACACGTTGCACCCTCATGCCCTGGGGGGAGAGGCTGGGGCAGGGGAGGGGGGGTGGGCACAACAGGAAGAGAAGGGGGGAAGGGGGGATAAGGGATGTTGTGGGAGGTTGGTGGTTGGTGGTTGTGGTGGTATGCGTCGGACTTTGATTCGTGGTTGCTGTACGTCATGCTGGTTGCTGTGCACAGACGCATGGCATGCATGCATGTTGAGCCCACTGGTCTCACCATACCATACATGCACAAGCGCGTACATGCGCCCAGCCAAGAAATTTCTTTATGCTTGTGTGTGTGTGTGTGTGTGTGTGTGTGTGTGTGTGTGTGTGTGTGTGTGTGTGTGTGTGTGTGTGTGTGTGTGTGTGTCTGTGTGCGCGCGTGCATACGCGCGTGCGAGTGTGTGCTGTGGTGTGTGAGTGAGTGTGGGTGAGCGTGCATGTGCATGCATGCCATATTGCAGGATGCGCAGCTGACATCAACCAAGACGTCACCATCGCACACATACCCGGTTGTTATCCGCATTCAAACGTCATTGGTGCGTCAGCGTCTGCGAAACCTCCATCTTGTGTTGCTCCTCGAATCTATGCCGGGAGTTTCACTGTTGTCAACCGTGCCCTGCCATGCATGGTGCATGCATGCCCCTCTCCGTCCCTCCCAGCCTGCAGGCCGGCCACATGACTCAGCAGCACGAGCGCAGCAGCAGACCCACACCACCTATGCCACTCTCGTCAAACAGGTCCTCTCACACTCCCCCACTTCGCTCATTGTTTTCCTCCTACCCTTCTGCCTTTCTCTACTTCTGCACCATATGGCTTTTCAACCCTCTCATTGTTGCATCCACCTTCCGTTTCTTAGCAGCTGAGTTGTGCTGGTTCACTTGCCATGCCTTGGTTCCCCCATGCCTGTGCACGTGCGGCGGTGGCGGCAGGCGGACAGCACATACGGCATCCAGGTGTTGAAGCAGGTGCTGTGGGTGGGCGGGTGCTCGTACGTGCTGCATGAGATCTTCGGCATCGACGGCCCTGCCTCCTCGCCCGCCCCCCTGCATGCTGCACCTGGGGAGGCGGCAGACCCCTATGGAGGGGGGGCTAATGTGGTGGGTGGGGCTCATGCGGTGCGTGGGGCTCATGGGGTGCGTGGGGCTCATGGGGTGCGTGGGGCTGATGGCTGGAATGGATAGTGGAGCAACGGAGGTTAAGGGGGCTGCGATGGCACGCATTGGGGTGTGGCAGGAGCAGGTGTGTATCCTGCATGTGGCAGCGTGGAGGAACGAGGGGACATGCTGAAGCACATGCACTTGCCATTTTGTGATGCTACCATCAATTGCCTTGCCTTGGCCTCCTTTCCTGCTCTCACGCCTCTCCTTCCCCTCCCCCCCCCCCGGCCGTGCTCTCTCTCGCCCTCTCTCTCTTCCCCGCTCTCTCTCTCGTTCTCTTCCGCCTTCTGTCCCCCCCCCCTCTCGCCCCTGTCGCTTGCACAGGAGTGTGTGGTGTGTCTGGAGGACCCCCGGGACACGCTAGTGCTGCCGTGCCGCCACCTCTGCCTCTGCCTGCACTGCGCCAAGGCTCTCCGCTTCCAATCCAACAAGTGCCCCATATGGTACGAGTGAACCATATGGCATAAGTGCTCTGTTGTCGTGTGCTACTAGTTCTCACTGTTTGCCTTATTGCCCGCGCCATCCCTCGTTCTGTCTCTGCACTCCTGCCTTGATGCTTGTTGCTTTTCCCTGGCCCTTGCATGCTCCCTGTCTCACATGGCTCTCTGGGTTCTACCTGCCGCATGCCCTGCCTGCCGTTGTGCCCTGTGCGCCCCATGCCAGTCGCAGCATAGTGCAGTCACTGCTCCAGATTAAGCTCTCAGCCCCACGCGAAGCCACACTGGGGGGGACTGCTGCTGCCAGTGGTAGCGATGCTGCTGCTGCTGCTGCTGCCGCTGAGTCTGGTGGTGATGGTAGCAGTGCTGCTGCTGCTGCTGCTGCTGCTGTTAGTCATGCTGTGGCTGTTGCTCCTGCTGACACTCCTACTGCCAGCCCTCTTAACGATGACCCGGAAGCAGGAGTCGGGGAGAGAGAGGAGGAGCGGGAGGGGAAGGGGGCGGAGCAAGGGCAAGGGATGGAAGGGAGGAAAGTGCGCGGGGAGAGGGAGTTGCAAGATGGTGGGGAAGAACAGGGGCAAGGGGTGGGGGGGAGGGAGGAGTTGAGGGAGGCAGTGAGCAGCTGTGCGGGTGACGCGGAGGAAAACTTTCTGTGTGGTGAAGGAAGCGGTGTGGCAGCACGTGCAGCGGAAAGGACCATGGCTGAGGGAGGAGAGGGGAAGGGGAGTAGCGGAGAGGGAGGAAGGGAAGCAGGTGCTGGGTACAATGCAGTAGGTGCAGAGCCGATACTTTCCAGTAGTGACAGGGGGGAAGGCATTGAGGAAGGGGTACATGGAGAGGAGACGAGAGGAGGGGAAGGAGAGGAGAAGCAAGGAAGGGAGGAAGAGATGGTGGGAGTGGAAAGATGTGCTGGCAATGGGGAGACGCATGCTGGGGACGGGGAACCAAGAGAAAGGGAGGGAGTGGACAAACAGGCCCCGGTTGTTAGTGAACTAGCTTGATTCTCCTCTATGGACACTCACTGGTGGTGTCCCTGCGCTCCTGGTCGGATAGCATGTTGTGTTTATTATTGAGCAAGGCCACATGCATGGAATGCATAGGGTTGCTAGGTTAGGTGAGGGAGGGCATTTCGAGGTGCAGGGCAGTTCCAATGCACATGTGAAGTACGGTACCTGCTGACTGTGCCCACACCAGGCCCCACATGGTAATGCAGATGGCATGAGAAATCCCAAGTGATGACAAGTTGGTCAGTCTCCAGTCCAGCCAGAACAGAGAAGCACAGCGTAGAGCCTGCGGTCCCTCATGTTAGGCATAGGGCCTAGATCAGGAGGCACCAATTCAAAGCTCAGCTCCACTGCACTGTTTCATCAAGTGGTTCCGGTTTGCTAACGATATCAGCCTAAGTCACGGGGATAAACCAAGCACGCCCGGTGCACTGCTACAGTGGCAGAGAATCCCCTGTCGACCTGTGTGTGGCACGCAGATTGCATGCGGTGACGTGGTGGCTACTGCACAGAGAGCACTTCAATGTCGAAGACGAGCGTGGAGTTGGGCATGATGCCCCACGCAGGGAAGCCACCAGCACCGTACGCATAGTCGGGCGTGCACTGCAACCCAGGTGCAGAGGCCGATGGCAGGGGGAAGAGGATGAGGGAGAAAAAGGATGAAGAGATTATCCTCGAAGAGCAAATGGATATAGTGAAGTAAAAATTTGCAGACATCAGATGTGCGCGAGAGGGGGAGGGGGGGGGGGGGGGGGGGAGGGAAGAAAGGAAATTCCATTCGCATAGAAGGGGGAAATGGAGGAATGGGGAGGGATAAGCAGGAGAATGGAGAGGGAGGCGAGGGCGTACGGTGATGCGAGCTTGTTCACCGAGCTGCATGTTGATCACACTCTCGTCCCACCCTGCCGCGCACAGGCCGGCACGTGGCCCAGGGGAAGGACGGCACAGAGGACACAAGGAAGACGCGGTAAGATGAGGCGGGGAGGAACGACGAGAGCAAGTGATATGGGGAAAGTAAGGGAAATGATGGGAGTGGGGGGCGTGCGGGCATGTGTTGTGTGCATGCATGGTTGTGGGCGGCGTGGCGCTCACCCTTGATGACATTCCCCAGCCCCACTTGGAACGTGAACGGCTGCTGCCCCGGGTCCTTGGTGCTGCACCCCTCCGCGCCCACGCGCCCCACGTCATGCACCCGCCACGCACGCGTGGCGAAGGCGCCGGATCAGTGTGGCGGGCGTGGGGACGCGAAGAGTGGAACGAGTGCGGGGGGAGAAATCACGGAAGGGAGATGGAAGGGGGGCAGAGGCATGGCGGTGTGAGCGGCAAAGATGGAGACATCTGGGGGGGAGTCAAGGACAGCACACGGCATTGCCAAAACAAGAGCGTCGGATTAAAAGCGACCAAAGCATCAGCCCCATCCAGGCGAGCCATGAAAAGAGATCAGCCCGCACTTGCCCCACCCCTCGCTCCCCCTACCTCCAGAACTTCTGACTCAGATCGCGGTTCTTCCCTGCATGCCGCCCCCCGCCGCCACGCGCCACGCACGAGGCGAAAACGAAAGAGGGAGCAGGGGAAGACATTAGCGCGCGTATTAAAGACGGCGGGAAGCTCATTACGAAGGCAGAGATAGGGACGATCGCAAGGGAGAGCACGAGCAATAAGACGATGAGGACATTCGCTGGAAGTTCCTGTCGGGCGAATCGCGGTGCGAAAACAATCAAGAGCGGAAATAGGAGAGATTGCGAGGGAGACGCCCGGGTTTAGCCGCGACATCGCTGCGGCAGTGCGGTGTGAGAGGCGGGTCGTGCGGCTCACCATAGCCGGTGCAGTGCACGGTGACGGTCTGCCCCTTCCTGGGCGTGGGGCCCGACCCCGCCGCCAGAAGCTGCTTCTCGAACCCCATGGTCGCTGATAGCGCCGCCGTCGCGCCGATCGCGAGGGAGCAGGCGAACGCCGGGGAGGGCGATGGCACGGCGAGACTAGGCGAGCGGAGAGGGGAAGCTGCAGGTAGATGCGATGGTGGGGGAGAAAGGATGAAATGGGAGTGGGTGGGATGACATGAGGAATTTGTCCAGACGATAAGGCACAGGGAAGGGAGGATCACTTTGTACGCTATATTGGCCGACTTGGTTGTGAAGAACCCAAAACTTGATTCGGAAAAATCACAGTGCAAGGGCGTAACACATTTTTTGGGGATGCCAGAAGATCGATGGCTGCGTTCTGCAGGCAATTTTGGAAGGTTCCAAGTCGCATGCAGAAAGCTCCGCAGCAGCCTTTTTTTGGTCTGGAACTAGGATCAGCCCGCAAGAAAGTGCCAAACCAACCTCGAGCTGTCCGAACGAACCTAGAAGAATAGCGTTGCCTTCGGAATGCACCCCCTTCAACGCAGAGGTTGAGTTGACGAATGTCGAGGGGCAGATTCGCCCCCAGGCAATTGTGTACTCTGCCGCACCTCCAAGTGGACTCCGCCAAATCGCAGGGGGACGTGGTGGAGTCGGTGTACTAGGGTGAACCACAACCCCACACAATGAGCCTCCGGTAGTCTGGATAGCTTGCCGCCATCGATTCTGTCAACAGCTAGTCCCGGGTCAATGTTGCCCAATTTCTTGTCATGTGATAAATTGGAGCTTGGATTCGTAATCGTCACATCATTTCGCACACGCTGGTGTGGTTTCCCGGCTCATCAGGTGCACATTTTATCTTGTAATATGCCAGACAACTCCAAGACTCTAATATCTAGGCTCATCAATCAACATCGAAGGACTATCCTATGCAAGCAATCGCAAATGAGCACGGCATCCTATCCTTATCGTCAAAGCACCTCCATTAAGGTTGTTTTAGGATTAAGGATCAACTACTGCTCAGGTCAACAAATGTACATAAACGGATATACTGTGCTCAGTTTCCCCATTAAGTCAGTCATTCAAGGACTGATCACGGGACTTCATCATCGCACGATGCCTTCCAAGGTCAAGCCTGTGCAAGTCATGACCAGGGCCTCTGCAAGGTCATCACAGACGGAGGATCCCTAAGAGAATCACGAAAGTACGAGCTAGCTGGACGTCCCTGGTGCGTATGCTCTTCATGCGGATGCTCCGGCTGAGTCTATACCTACGAAGATGGAGGGCTCGAGTGCTCAGGGAGGAATGGATGCATTTATTCCGATGGTGGTGACGACTCAGCCTTCAGCACCGGAGGCAGTGGTTCAGTCACCAGCCATGCAGGCATCGGTGGCTCTGATGGCTCCACCGGCTTCCCAAGATGACACCGTCATGGACGCGGTTACTGACGATGTTCCTGTTGTTCCCGGGGGGGGTTTCCAGACGGAGGATGCAGAGGAAGATGGGTATTGCACTGATGATTTCGATGAGGATTCGGAGCTGGACATGCTGAATGAGATTGCTGCTGTGGCTTAAGTTTCGCTAACCTTACTTGTGCCATTCAGCTTTGTCAAGGAAGTCGCGCGTACCAAGGAGACAATAAAGTCCCTTATGATGATGCAAAAGAAGGACCTTTCTAAGGATGTCCATACTACGACCAAGTTTCATGAACTATTTTCGGCTTACCTTTCGCCGCACGGTTTGGTCGGCTGCAGGTCAAGTTTGGTGATCCGGCTGATGTAGAATACATCAGGAAATTTCAGGAGCTGGAGCATACCTGTGTGGATAAGAAGGTTATCAAGATCAGCTGGCAGTTCCTAGAGCGTTCTCGGCAGAAGTCTGCGTTTGAGGTGCTTTTCAAGAGCGTTCCAGCGACGATCATACCGGATATGCTGCGCGCAGTCCTGATCAAGGTGAAGCTTCGCAAGCGGCAACAGACGGCATTCCTGGACGGCCTGGCGTTTCATCGGGTGATGGATCCGGTGACCGGGTTTGACGCTGACAAGGTGAAAGGCTTGGTGCTGCAGCATCCGGGGGATCAGTTCAAGTGGATCCCGGTGGTTACGGAGCCGCTTGGCACCGGGCGGGAGCTGAAGGTGCACTATCCGGTTCTCACCTGTCTGCTCTGTGGCGGTTCACATGATGAGCTGTACCATGACATTTATGTTGTAGAGAGGCATACCATGGTTAGCGAGAGGAATTTGATGCTGGAGAAGGTTCATGAGATCAGTGGTAATGTTAGGGCAGCCAATTATTTCCTCGCTGCTCAGTTGGTTCAGTTCCCTTACGCACCTTCACTACTTACCGCCGTTGTTGTTGCTGGCGCTCTTACACATCAGTTCAGTGTCTCACCGTGTGCTGATCTCCGTCTCCTGCTCTGCCACCTCAGCCGCCTCCTTAAAGCCGACAAGTCCGGTGAAGCAGATTCTTCAAGACCCAGCGATTGTCACGACCTTCCTGCTGAAAGGGGCGGGTCAACTGGCAGATGCGGAGGAGGTGTTGAAAGACTTTGCAAGCACCTCGGGGCTATGCACCAACTGGGAGAAGTCGGTGGTGATTGTGCTTGGTCGGAATTGCACCATGGCACCATCGGTGCAACAAGTGTTCAAGTGGGCACGCCTGGAAGAGTCGGAACGGCTGCTGGGGATATGGGTCTCAGCAAGTGGGGACACGGGGTCATCGTGGGAAAATGCCCTTGATAAAATGAGGGGGACTCTGCAGAGGTGGGAGGCGCAACATCTCTCCATGTCGGCGCGGGTCACGGTCTTCAACAGTTACGTAATGCCCATGGCGCTTTTCCAAGCGCAGGTGTACCTGCCGCTGATGTTGGTGTGGAAGCAGATACGAAAGCTTGGGCATAACTTCGTGTTCCGGGGACATGCGTCGACGGACCAGCTGTTTGTGCTCTGGAGTTACCAGCTAATGTGCCTACCACGGAAGGAAGGGGGGCTGGGAGTTATAGAACCAAGAACCATAGTGGACAGTTGGGCGTTGAGAATAATTGGGAATCTGCTTCAAGAAACCAACCCCATGAGGCGTTGGCTGGCGTAGAGGGCGGCAAGGTTACCGCTGGGTTATGCGATTTTCTATGCGCACCCGGCAATCTTGAAGCACTAGAAAGGGGGCAGTGCAAGATGGAGGGGGGCGGTGGAGGTTTTCATGAAGTCAAGCCTGACGGAGGTCACAACGTCTGGCACATGATGGGAGGTGGTGCAGGAACATCTAACTTTCAACAAGAGGATTCTTTTTAGGGGCAATAGCCCATTCGGCTGTCAAAAGGAGACGGTGGACATAGTCGGTTTGACGATGGAGGACCTGGTGACCAAAGGCGAGGGCGGTAACCTGGTACAGAAGGCGAGGGCAGCTTATGTAGGAGCTAGGAGGGGGGCTCAGAGCAGCGGCGGTGGAAAAGGCTTTTGTAGCGGCACCTAAGGAATGGAGGCGAGCATTGCTGGGGCAGACGAGTGCAGAGGATGTTGCGAGGGTAACGATCGTGATTGGAAGAAGTGGGTGGTCGGGGGTGGAGGACCCATTATGGCTGATTACTAATGCCGACCGGGGGAAGCTGCTTTGCACTAGGGTGTCCCTGAATGGGGACGGGCTGGTATTATCAGCGGGGGTTCAGCAAAGCAAAGAGATGGATGCAACTAAGGTGGTGCCGTTAAAGATGGTACACGGCAGGTTGCTAGGTCCACTAGGTGCTCCAAGAACGAGACTGAGATGCTGATTTGTGTATGGAGCAGCTACCGGCCGGGGTTAAGTCGTCGAGGAAGATGCTGATGGTAAGACAGGATAGGCCAAAGCAACAGCTGATGTGGGAGGAAATGTGGGTAAGAGAATTGAGCGGAGCAAGGTGATACAAAGGAGGGACTCGTTGGTGACTCCGGGCAAAGCAAGGGAGACTTTGCTGCGGTTGCACAGTTGTAACTTGCAGGTGGGGAAGAGGTTGGCCTTTTTGGGGGACAAGGGCAACTGCCCCCATTACAATGCAGAGGAGACGATGGAGCATTGCCTCTACAAGTGCCGGAGGATCCAGCCGGTTATCGGCGCGCTCAAGAGGGCGGTGCGCATGATGAATCTGACGAGGAAGGTGGCGTCGTTGGGGGACTTACTGTTGGCGGTCACTTTGCATCGTCTGTGGTTGGACAGGTGTGACGCAGAGTTCCGGAACAAGAAATATCAGGTTAGGAAGATTTTGCGGTAAGTGGCGATGACGTTTCATGGCCATGTGAGGGTGTATAATGCAAGCAGGCTACGGGCAGCAACGGATAAGCATCACAAGATGAGCAACATGAGGTAGAGCCACCTGACAGATGACGAGGCGAAAGTCATGGGTCAGATATGTGGCACACGGTCGAAGCTGTTGAGGTGGAACGGTGGGTTCCAATCCATATGGACGCACCCGAGGGCAAGCCATCAGCCGCCGTAGAAGTGATAGGGGCACCGCTTGTATCGGGCCCGTTTTCACAGTTACGACAGAGGTTCTCTTGCATTGTAATACGCATTACAGTGCTTGGTTTACCAAAAAAAAAAAAAAAAAAAAACCAGAGGCGACGAAATCGTTTTAGGGTTTCGGAGCACTATAATACAAAAAGCACTGATAAAATGTTCAATTCAAATATTTTTTAATAGAGATATCTCTTTATGACAAATTGTTTTCTTACCATGTGTGTCACAATCAGATGACAGACTATTCGCCAATGAAACACAAACCATATATATGCGTTATAAAATAATTGTATCATAGAGTTCTGTTTAAATCATTGTACAATTTTGACTTTGTTGTCCTTTTCCACGTCAGTTTCGTCCTCTGTATTTCTATTGGTACCACTAGGCGCATTTATTATCGATATGATTTCTCTGTCTAGTAACGAAAGTTGCTAGCTGGCATGTTTTGTTTTTTCTGCGCCCATTGGCGAGGCTTTGTCATGCGCGCCATTCTCGAAATGGCGGCGAGTTTCGCCTTGCCAGCCAGCTGAGCCATTGCTTGGATTTTTTTTTTTGGTGAATGCGCACTCATCATATCCAGCTATGCGATATTTGCTGTTATGGCGTATTCCAGTTTCTCGTTTATTGCAAACTCTGTACTACTTGGTCAGTTTCTGATTTTTGGGTTGCGGAGCAACCTATTGCGATCGATCGTAAGGATTTTTTTTT